CTCCTAACCTTGATTATTTGTATAAAAGCCATTATAGCTGCAGGGTGCGTTATTTCTGACTAGATTAAATAACTGACCCCAAAATTTTTTTTTCACAAGCAATACTTTTTGGATTTTTGAATGAATGAATGACTAAATGTGATAATTGACCAAGTAAAATGGTTGCAATTAAACAAACTACTACTAATTGGTTTGACACATGTCAACAATATTGGGTCAAGGTTTAATGGAGATGTAAAGGTTTTATGTTTAATTTTAAGGCTGATATTTGCAGATAAATCTAATTTTAATTATATCCTTTTCCTTTCTTTTTTCATCACATAAATAAGATTAGTTTAAATGAACCAGCTTCTTGTTTCTTTTTTTCCTCAAAAAGATTGATAAATTAAACATTTTAGTTTTGATTTTCCTAAAACAGTTAAATATAAATTAAAATTTACCCTAAAACAGTTAAATAAAAAAATTATATAAAATTTACATTCATCCTAAAACACTTACATGTAAATGTACAGTTAAACCTGATTAGTTATGAATTTTACTCAAAACAGTACACAATTAAATCAAATATTCTTATTACTTTTTTCTTTTACACAATTAAATCAAATTTAATATTTTAATATAATTTATCCCCTTCACAATAAAATTTGATCAAATATTAATATAACTTTTGTCACACATTTAATTCAAATCAAATATTGATTTAACTTTTGAAATTTTTTAACGAGTACGATATGTTTACAACATCCTACACAAGTCCCGATAAGTAAACTGAATACTATTTATTGCACTCAAAACTTTATCACTAACATTTTTTGTAGCAAACTATAATATATACTGTATACAAAATATATATCAAGTTTTAAACACCAGGAATTTAAAAAAACCTGTTATCTTTTTACCTTAAAACCAAAACACTTCCTCAATTTTCCATCAGCGAAACAAAAAACAAAAAAAAACACACACGCACATTACATACCGAAACTTAATAATCATGCAACTAAATCCATTTATAAACATTGAACCACTGATGTAAGAGGCAATATATAGTTTTTACCCCTTCAATTCAATTATTGTTTTACAAAAAAAAAGTGAGCGAAAGATAAATAAATAAAACGCCCCACACAAGTGTATGCACAATAAAATATTATCACTTGTCAAAATCCATTGTAAATAGTTAATTAGGTACAAGGACATAAAAAGCATACACATGTATACATCGTCAGAATTTTACAATGGTTTTTATCATTTCCTTCCATATTACATGTGTATCTTCTTTCTTTTTTTTTCGCCCCAGTCGTTACCTTTACGAAAAATATCTGAATGCATCTCAAGTGTGACCGTGTGTCATAAAGGCAAACTATCATATTAAACGATAAATTATCCGCAGCAGTGTGTAGCCATGCAACAAATAGATTTACACAAATTAAAAATATGTAAATTTTGCTGCATATTTTTGACATTATGCCTAATTAACATTGTGTTAACCTTAGTGCAATAACTGATAAACTGCTATTAAATTTAAAAGGACTTATTATGGTGTTGCACTAAGGTGACAAAATTTCATTTTCTCTAGTAAAGGAATGGAATGAATAACTTTTTTTTAAAACACAACTGTATACAAAAAAAGATGCTAAAGATTTTTTTTCAGGAAGATAAAAAAAAATTTCATTTTGAAAAACATCAAAATACAACAGCAGCTTATTGCTACATTCATTTTAATTTAAAGGCCAATTATGCCAAATAAATGATTTTATTTAATTTCTCTAAAGCTTTTTATTTTTAAAAGAAGTAACTAATCGGCCAATTACCTGAACAATCTTTTGCTTCTTTTGTTTGTTTGCAATTAAAACAGTAGCAATTTAGTATTTTGCATGAAAGTCAAAATACTACTTCGTTTACATTTTGCTACCTTCATCACAAATTATTTCATATTTATCGCTACTTTCTTCAGGTAGGAATAATGTAATTGCTTTTAAACCATTATTTTAACGTTATTAAATTTACATATACCCATTTTGAACAAGTAAACATTTATTCATTTCTGAGGCATAATGTGCCTTTAATGAAACTTAAGAAAATTTCTAATATGCTCAAAATTATAATTATAAATAGTCTAAGACAGTCTTTTTTTTTTGCTAATAACACGATGAGGCCATAGTTATACGGATAAACATGGCATCCCTTTAAAATTCTGACATTATTTGTGAGTTTTTAAGGACAGTTATTAATACACTGATGGGTTTACTCTGGGAATCAAATACTTCAAACTGGTCTTAGAATATAATGAATGGTGACAGGTAGTCAACGATTTATTTGTCTTAGTTTTCCCCTAGCCATCAGGACACTTCTAGAAAATCCGATTTTCATAAGCATAATCCTTACAGGCAATGTTTAATTGGTCCTTGAACAAATGCAGAACTTGTATCTTTTAATCTTTTTGTCAATTTGTCAAGAAGCTAATTCATCACATTCAGACAGCATTAGTACGCTACCTAATGTTGTAAGAATGTATCAAGTCTAATCATATTGATCATTCCAACATGTTGAAGTAAATTCTATATATGAGCCGCGTCATGACAAAACCGACGTAATGCGTTTGCAACCAGCATGGATCCAGATCACGATCCATGCTGTCCGCTTACCAACCCTATTACAAGTAAAGAAACTGATAGCCAACAGCATGGATCCTGATCAGAATGCGCGGATGCGCAGGCTGGTCTGGATCCATTTTGGTCGCAAACGCATTACGTCGGTTTTGTCATGATGCGGCACAATATTACCATTATATAACTTCATATTATACCTCCTGTACAGGACAGAACCCTAATGTATATTACGATCAGATATCTTTGATATATATCTCCACCCACTTCTGATATCTACATTGTATAATGAAATTCCTTTTCTTATATCTTTAATGTCATCCACATTTAATGTACACTTATTTCTGATATCTTTAATGTACATCCAATTTTGATCTAATCCAAATACATGCACTGTTGATATCTTAAATGTACATCCACTTTTGTACATCCATTTTTGATATATTTCGTGTACATCCACTTTTTACTCTTCACTAGCTGTACATCCAGATATGATATTTGTAATGCACATCTAATCACCTCAGATATCTGTAATGTATGTCTCCAAATCTGATATCTATAGTAGCATCCATTTCTTTTATCTTTAATGTACACCCATTTCTGATATATTTCATGTACATCCATTTTTGGTTTCTTTATATTATATTCAAATATCATAGCTTTAATGCACATCTACTCACTCCTGATATCTTTAATGTACATCCATTTTTTATATCTTTAATGTACATCCATTTCTGATACCTATAATGACATCCTTTTCTTATATTTTTACTGTACATCCGCTTCTAATATCTTTAAAAGACATCCATTTCTTATACATGTATCTTTAATGTACATTTTTTTCTGATATCTTCAATGCTGTTTGTTTTATGTACAAAACAAACAAACAAAAACTTTAATGCTATATTTATGTACATCCACTTCTTATATATGATAGTGTACATTAATTTCTGATATCTTTAAGGCATACCATTGTCTGATTATCTTTAATGTACATCTACAATAGCTTTCCATATTTCTCTTCGATTAGTTGAGCTAAGTACTACACTACAAATTAAACAGTATTCTATAAACTTCACCATACTCCTCAATGATTGAAAATAATTACTGTAAGAACCTACCTGTATTATCTCCCTCTACCTTCTCTAATGACAGGGGCAGACAATTTGTAGCTACTAGACGAGACTAAAAATACTCACATAAAGACACGGTCCCATCATAATAATGTTGTTGTTTTTTGAAAGAGGCGTACAGTTTTGTAGCTTTCTGCTTTCAGGCTGCTAGACAAGAGTAACCAGCTTCAAGACAAAGTACTACCATATAATAATGTTGTGTTTTAGATAAATTATGATACCTCTACATGTTTACATCTTACCTTTATATTGTTGACAATACTCTTGCTATAGCTTTTAATCAATTTTTTTTTAGTAAAATAAACCACTGGGTAATTTGTAAAAAGATACATGTAGTAAGAATTCTGTAATGGCCTTAGGTCACTCAATTGCATAAACAATCAGGGGTACGTTTCATTAACGATCTTACGTTATCGTAACTCAAATTTGAACGTAACTTTTTACGTAAGCAGAACTTACCTATTTATTTGCGTTTCACTAAACTTTTTTAGATACGCATTTGTGTTAGTTTAAAGGTAAAGTTACACTTACTTAGTACTGGCGTAAATTGCACATTCTGTTAAGTGAAACGCAACTAACGTAAATTTATGTTTACCGTAAGTCCAAATTTACGTAAAAAGATACGCAAAAGTTACAGTTGTTAGTGAAACGCTCGCCAGATATCCAAGTCAGAGTCTGAGTTTTTAAATGTTTATGTCAGACACTATATTTGTGAATATCCACCCTGACCTGATGGCTCACATCAATCCACAGGTTCTAGTAGAGCCCAAAAATAAACATTATGAAAACCATTCTTACATAATTATATATTGTAGAATTTGATTGGTGGAATTTTGTAATGTCCAATGGTAAAGTTAAACATGTGGACTGGTCTACTAATATCTACATGTAATTAATTAAAATGTAACATTCACAATGAATACCAGTCTTGTCAAGTGGAATTTAGTTGGCAGACTGGGCGGTGGAATCTGGTTGGCTCTTGGCAGACTTTGGGCGGTGGAATTTGGTTGTCAAACTTTGGTCAGTGTACTTTGGTAGGAAGAATCCTAATCGGCCAATGGTAAAATTTCATAGCCAATCATCCTGCATTATAGTTAATACAATGCCCATTTTATACAGACTACATTACCCTACTTGTCCTACAGCAGATTCTACACTAGAAATGAGCGAGAAATTTAAATTTTCAATCTCTGGTAGAGATTTATTTGTAGACTGGCACTCGAATCTCTAAATTGGGAGTGAAAGAAAAAGGTACCAGACTAACCTGATGATATCACGCTGAGATTTATACGCCATTGTCAACTCGTTATCTTCATTCACGATATTGTCCTGGCCGCCATATGACTGTTTGGCTACGGAATGCGTGGAGATGCTCTTCTCTGCGAGTAACGCTCGTAATTGTAGACACTCTTCTCGTCTTCTCTCTAACTCATCTGTCATCGCCTCAAACTGATCTAAAAACAAATTGATTGCGACACATAATTGTCAAGTTATGTATTTACGCCCTGTTACGCATATGACGCAATAGTATGCTATTAACATGTTACGTTATAAACGCAACTTCCAAATTTTTTTTCTTTCTTTGTTTATGATACACAATAAAGGGGTACGCACCTGGAAAGACATGTTTACATTCCCGATAATTATGTTAAACATCATCTTTAGCCACTTTGGCCATGGACATCAAACGGAAACTCTAATATTTTCAAACTAAAGTGACCTAATTTTCATTGTTTCAATAATTATTATATTAGAGTGTTAGATATCATAACAAGAGCTGTCAGTAGGACAGCACGCTCGACTATTCTAAGTGCTTGATAGTAAAAGAGCCTTTATAATGTTAAATTTTCTAAGTTCACAAAAGGGCTAAATTTTTTTTATAAATTCATGTTATAGGCCTTAGAGCTCAGAGTCTAATTATACAGTATTGGCTTGACTATTCAGAAGGTAATGTCAGGTAATGTCACAAGGGTGTTTTATTGAGTATAATAATACTTATTACCTATGAATACATAAATTTGACAGACAAGGTACAAAGGCTTGTTATTAAGATGTTTTATCAAGTAAATCACTGCTTTATTATTATGAATGCATAAAATTGTCCCAAAAAAGGCACAAACCCTTCAGTAGTTATTGAGACAACAGCTTACATGTGCAAGCAAAACTTTACCATGAATTTCTAAGTTGAAAAAGGGGAGAAAAATCACCCTAAATGCAAGATAGAATTATGGATCTTTGTCAGTGACCTACAATTATGACCCTAAATGCATATGTGAAGTTTTAAATAAATATCTTCAATAGTTATTGAGATATGTAAAACTACCATGTAAACATTAACCAAGAGACTAAGTAGAAAAGGGGATATGAATCAGCCTTAATGCAAGATAGAGTTTATGGAACTTGGTCAGTGACATACAATTATGACCCTCCAATTATGACCCTAAGTGCATGTGTAAAGTTTTAAGTAAATATCTTTGAAGACCTTTAACCAAAATTTCTAAGTTTCAAAGGGGCAAATAATTCTGCAAATATTGCAGGCAGAGTTATGCAATTTTGCAAACTGATGTACATTGTTACTATAAAAGAGTATTTTAAATTTCAATTGAATATCTCAAGCAATAATTGAGATATTTGACTTTAAAAAAAACTTTAACCAAAATTTCTAAGTTCCAAAGGGGCATAATTCTGTCAATATTGTAGGCAGAGTTATCCAACTTGTCAATCTGATGTACCTTGTTACTATAAATAAGTATTGTAAGTTTCAATTGAATATCTCAAGCAATAATTGAGATATTTGACTTTACAAAAAACTTTAACCAAAATTTCTAAGTTAAAAAGGGGCATAATTCTGTCAATATTGTAGGCAGAGTTATCCAACTTGTCAATCTGATGTACCTTGTTACTATAAATAAGTATTGTAAGTTTCAATTGAATATCTCAAGCAATAATTGAGATATTTGACTTTACAAAAAACTTTAACCAAAATTTCTAAGTTAAAAAGGGGCATAATTCTGTCAATATTGTAGGCAGAGTTATCCAACTTGTCAATCTGATGTACCTTGTTACTATAAATAAGTATTGTAAGTTTCAATTGAATATCTCAAGCAATAATTGAGATATTTGACTTTACAAAAAACTTTAACCAAAATTTCTAAGTTAAAAAGGGGCATAATTCTGTCAATATTGTAGGCAGAGTTATCCAACTTGTCAATCTGATGTACCTTGTTACTATAAATAAGTATTGTAAGTTTCAATTGAATATCTCAAGCAATAATTGAGATATTTGACTTTACAAAAAACTTTAACCAAAATTTCTAAGTTAAAAAGGGGCATAATTCTGTCAATATTGTAGGCAGAGTTATCCAACTTGTCAATCTGATGTACCTTGTTACTATAAATAAGTATTGTAAGTTTCAATTGAATATCTCAAGCAATAATTGAGATATTTGACTTTACAAAAAACTTTAACCAACGCAGACGCCGACGCGGACGCGGACGCCGACGCCGGGGCGACTACAATAGCTCTCATATTCTTCGAATAGTCGAGCTAAAAAAAATAAGATATCAAGTAAAATAATATAATATAAAATGTTAGAATGATTAATATAATTATATCAATATCATTTCTGTATCATTAAGGAATGCAAAGGGAAATGGTTGGGTTGTACATTGTATTTTGGGTATATTGTTGTGGATGTGAGAGAGGGAGGGGGGGTTGTTTCTTTTTTCTGATCAGGACAGTATAATGTAAAATATTACTATCAGAAGAAAGTTGTTCCTTTTGGTTTATTATTATGAGATTCTTGTCATGCAATATACAATGTATATATGAATTTCAATGAGGAGGGTAGGAAAGGCATACTGCAAAAGTCATTATTACTAGTGGAGCACTAATTTTAATGGTTCTTATTGATAGGTCTTGACATCCACACACTTTTGATTCGACAAAATTTTCCACAGAAAAGTTTGGATATGAACTCAAAGAACAGAATGAGCAAGCACATGGAAATAGTCTTATAATATACATGATTCTATAAGGCTGGGAAGACAGGCAAACTTTTTCTCAGTTCATAAGTTTAGGTTTTTTTTGTTAGCAAGATATATATAGATTTATCTATCGAGTCAAGAGCTGCATGCAAATGATATACCAGTTATAGCCTTATATCCTTCACCCGTAGCCTTCCTGAATCCAAGACTTAATCTTCGAGCTGTTAACATAATAATTACAGTAACATATCTTCAATACCAAGACATACTATTCCTAATAAATGTACCAAAGGGCAATGCTTTAAAAAGACATATAATTAGTTATAAAGATTTTTGACAGGTTATAATTACGGCCCTATATAATCAACTGTTTGCATATATATAGGGTTATATTGTAAACAACCATTTCTATACAGCCATATAACATTTCAGGCATGATGACTTTATAAAAAATTTATAATTCAGCAAACTTCATTTTTTTTTAAGAGAAAAAAAGAAAAAGAGATTTCTCCAGAAATTGACAGCAGACATTATCCAATCAAAAGAGACCTTACAAATGCGCCGTTTTATAATATTTCTAATAAATGTACCGAAGGGCCAAGCTTAAAAATACACTTCAGAAAGGTGCCATTTAGAAAAAATTTCTCTTAAGCTTCATATTTCTTCAAATAAATGATCTTATATTGTTAGTTAATATAAAGATTCCACCCCTTCACACTTTATTTCTACATACAGCTCACATGATGGTTCGAACCAGCCCCCCCTATATTACTACTGGTGCGCTAAACAGTCATAGCAGATCAATGACTAACATACATAATTACATAAATCAGTAACTTTAACAATACTTCATTAAAAAACCCTTTCTGGAAACAAGAAAATAAAATTATATGTAAATAAAAAAACAACAACTTGTCTCGCACATAAAGGGACATGATTACCACAGGTATAAATAGCCGAGTCAGATTTTGGCTTTTAACAGTGTAAATGGTAAATTGTTGTAAAATGCTACATAATGTGCAAAAACAATTGGATTTTGTGCATTGTTGAAATACCGTATTGTTTCCAATTAACGCCCCCTCTCTAATTTGTGCCCCAAAACCCACCCCCCTCCCACAATATGTAGGAAAAAACCTCTAAGAGCAATAAAATAATCTAAATATTTTTATTTAAAAAGAACAATTAATGGCACTGTCAAGTAATGTAAATCATTAAAATAATAATGATAATACTGTATTCTATATTAGATCATAATAATGATTAATGATTTTTATAATTGATTATATCTTTGAATATTTGATAAACAATCATATTTAAATGCACATTTTAAAAGTTCTAATAAGCACGTTCCCCCCCACCCCCTGGAAAAAATGGAAGACCCGGGGGGGCAATAACTAGAGACAATTGAACTATATCTTTGATAATTTGATAAACATACAGTAGTTAAATGCATATTTTAAAAGTTTTAGGCACCCATCACCCCCTGGAAAAATGGAAGACCCGGGGGGCACTAACTAGAGACAATACAGTATGTGGATATAAGCGTATTAACTGATACCGTTAATAATTTTGGACGGATCTGGTACGGTTTTTGTCGGATCCTCGGATTTGTGACGGCGCAAACTCATTCTATGACCTAGTGACAGATTAATTGTAATTGTATACCTAAGTGTTTGCCTATAATCTGATGTCATAAAAGGTATGGTTAAGGTGTCTGCCTCTCAACCCAGGGATCATAGGTTTGAACCCTAATCTGGTCAAGACCATCAGAGTTTTCATTATTAACCGATTGGTGATCCAAACCATCGGTTAAAATGCCTGTTAATTAAAGTATTACCCTTTAATTAAAGTATTACCCTTGACCCTTGGAAAAATTGGTTGTTTTCTTTAGAGCATCTGTTGCCTCTGATAAAAATGAAAACCCTGGACCATGTGAGTCTCTGGCAAGCATTAATATTATTTTATTCAACTTGTTCAATAAATTCAGTAATGTTCAACTTACACAAACTTAATATTCTTTTTATCACATTCCAAAACCAATCGAAAAATAATCATTTTTCACTGATGCGCCAAAAGTGTAACACTAACAATTAGTACATCTTTACATTGTACAAAGCAAATGACGTAACATCAAAATATATGCACAGGTGTGCAATACCAGTTTTACGCAGTCGCAAAGGCAGCACAGGTGTGCGATAAAAAGAAATATGTATTTGGTTACATTGGAAACATCATGAGATATTATTATTGTCTAAAAGTTTGTTTTGTTGGGTCACACCTTCACTGTAAAGGTCGTGGGTCACACCTTCACTGTAAAGGTCGTGGATCACACCTTCACTGTAAGGTCGTTGGTCACACCGTTACTGTAATGTCATGGGTCACACCGTTACTGTAAGGTTGACATGGGTCACACCGTCACTGTAAGGTCGTGGGTCACACCGTTACTGTAAGGTTGACATGGGTCACACTGTCACTGCAAGGTTGTTGGTCACATCCTCACTGTAAAAGTCTTTACTGGTGGACTTAGACCTCAGTGTATTATTTCAGGCACATGAGTAGAACCCCGGAATTTCAACAAACTCAAGCTGGATATCTACCTCGCATACTCATTTTCATATAACTGATTAAATTTCATTGAATAAAGAACAGTACACATTAATTTAAGAATTTGAGATGACATGCAAAATGGTCGACACTCTAAAAGAACGTGATCAAAAATATTACCTAGGAATTCTTTACCAGCAGCTGTCGTTTTACCGCCTTTATTAAAGTTGGTCGTCTTGGCAATGGATTCCATAAGTTTGGCACATTCTCGTTTAAGTTTGTCGTTTTCATTCTCCAATTCTTGCATCTGTTTTAAACACAGAAAATTCAAAAAACATTTTAGGACATTTAAATACTTGCGGTGACAATTTTTTTTTACTTATTTAAAGGGAAATTAAGACAGTCATGCAATGCATTTCTATACTGATAAATGTACGAAATATTAAAAATGTTGGCTTCAATACGAAATTAATAAAATATTGATTTTTTTTTTCTAAAATTTAAAACCAAAAATTACAGATATAAAATATTTAAATTACAGCTACATGCCTCCAGGTGAGCACACAAAGTACATGTAAAAAAAAAATTTGCTGAAATATTTTTTCAAGATTTTGTCCATTAACCCGCTAGATTTGAAAGTGATGAACCAGCTTTGCCATGAGTACAAAGCAAGGCCTGGGTCTGCGCATCCATGCACATCCATGCAGTCTCAGACCAGGCTCTATATTGTTCGCCTAAAATGGACGCGGCACAAGTCCATTTTTTTGGAAATGTTTTACTTCGCACCAACACAGTATAGGTCATATGGCAACTTTTCCAGCTTTACTGGTGGATAGAAGACCTGAGGTGGCATTCCATGTATTATTTCAGGCACGAACAAGCACCTGCGTTGAACCACCAATGTTCCTTAAGTTGGCTGAATAACCTCCTCACACGAAAGAATCCAAAGTCCCTGCCGGGATTCGAACCCAAAGTGGTGAGGGGCAAGTGTTTTGAAGTCAACAACCATAATTTTTGTTTGATTTGGTTTTACGTCACACTGACACAGAATAGGTTATTTGGCGACGTTCCAGCTTTACTGGTGGAGGAAGACCTCAGGTGCCCTTCCGTGCATTATTTCAGGCACGAACGGGCACCTGTCAGTAGAACGACCAACGTTCCGTAAGATAGCTGGATAGCTTCTTCACATGAAAGAATCCAAAGTCCCTGTCGGGATTTAAACCCACAGCGGTGAGGGGCAAGTGGTTTGAAGCCAACGACCTTAACCACTCGGCCGCGGACGCTCTACAACCATAATTAATTAATATCAACTGAATTAGCCATTTTAATTATCTAAATAAATTACCCCATTACTGAAGAAGACTTTGAAACGTCATTCATTAAGTAAATCTATTTGAATAATAGGTTTTCGGCAACTCCTTTATTCTTTCATTCGAACTATCATGAAATATATTTCTTAAAATCCAGCCATTTTGAAAACATTTTTTAAATTTCCTTAAGAAATTGCATCAACCTGGAAGAAATTTTATCAACCTGGAGGAGTGTTGCGTTTATCATGCATATGAAATATCACAATAATGTTAAAATGAAATAGAAAATATTCAAATAATTATCTAAACATTTATTCAAAGAAAAAAAACTGTCCCATAAAATACAAAAGAATATGTTCTTTTAAATCTATACTGGAATTCATATTTTTCTTTTCTGTCTATAATAATTTTACAAAAGTATTTCAGTAGTACTATATCACAGATCTTGTTTGTTTAAAAAACAATTTGATATTCGGAACAAGATACCCCTAAGGGGCCATTTTTGCTCACCTGATCAAAATGGATATAAATATTTATTTATTGGTGACCATAAAGTTCATCCCTGAACACTTTGTACTCAGGTGAGTTAAAAACTATATTAACAGTTTTTTCAAAAAAACATTTTAAAAGGACAAACTTATCACCTTTTTTTGCGAAGTAAAAATGAGCAAATATCAGCATAATGATGATTGAATTTCAGTTTTAGTAGTTTCTAAAATGTTAATCTAAGAAAACCTATATTAATACAATAATGTTATACTGACTATTCCATTCTAATGAGTTAGTTATTAAGCACACTGCAAGCTTATATATAAAATCAACCATATATCTATACACATAAGTCTATTTCACTACACCAAAAAAAACAAAACAAACAAAACCCCCCAAAAAAAAACAAAACAAACAAAACAAAACAATAACAACAAAAAAATTACCTAACAAACGACCCCAAAACAAATCATAACCCACTTAAAATTTATCTCTTGTTAAAAAAATTCAGTTTTACATTTCATACTTCAAATGTCATACTGATATGTTGCCATAACAACAAGGTAAACCGAGTCATAGTTAACTACAAGCATTCAAGTTTGTTTTTTTTTTTTTTTTTTTTTTTTTTAATTTTTCAGTCTGAGGGTGGACAGCACCACAGTAGGACTAACAAGGAGGACAGAATGTATTATGGTCCCCACCCTCTGCCTCCGTCCCCATCCCAATAGACTTATATTAGCTAGAGTATATGGATAAATATTGCAGAAATATTGACACAAACACACACAATAAAACCTAACAAGATAAAGGGTTGCCCATGTTAAGTTGGCGATGTGTCCTGAATAAAGAAAATGCATTGTGGTCCGATACCACTAACATTGCTTTTGTAATGACCGTCAACCAATAACCATTATAAAGGATAATATCACTCCATCAGTGTCAACATTAACCCTTACTTTCTTTTATTTTATTATTTTTTTTTTTTTATTTATTTATTTTTTTTTGGGGGGGGGGGGGGGGGGCTAGGGTTTACATGGCACAAACTAAGAATAGGTCATATGACGACTTTCCAGCTTTTACTGGCAGAGGAAGACCTCTAGTGCCATTTCCTGCATTATTTCAGGCACAAAAAACTTAAAAGGCAACTGAGTAAAACCACTGACATTCTGTAAGCTAGCTGGATAGCTTCCTCACATTAGAGAATCAAAAGTCCCCATTCTGGATTCAAACCCACAGCTACAATCATGGGGTAAGTGGTTTAAAGCCAACGGACCTCCTCTTTCTGATTCTACCCATGTGGCCTGTGCAGGGTCGGCACAGCCTTGCTGTGTGATCATTGTTTGATTTTCAGTCATTAAATATTTCAAAATTTCCCCCAAAATTGAAGAATGGTTTTGTCCCAATTAAACAATGGACAAGTCCATTTAAGATATTTAGTGTGGTAAGGGTTGTTATTACTACAATATCTACAATATGGACATTAAAACATTTATGTCAGTTTATGAAATTATTACTCTTCAATGTAGGTTACCTTCAATATATAACTTTTTGTTATAATTATATATACATATAATTATGCACGTATTACTTACTTTGTTTGCTACTTTGCAAATTTTCCTCTATTTTAAAGATTTAGAAAATCAAATTTATTTACATTCAAACTTACCACTGAACAAAACAAAAAAAGAATTAAAATTATTAGTAGTAGTATATTATTTAACTGATGAAAAATCATTTTCATGTTGTATTTATTTTCCTTCTAATAACACATCCAGCATATTTTTTCTATTTTCAATGATAGCATTTTTTATTTTAATTTTTCCATGATGTAAGCTTAACTTTTTTCTTTGATGTAAGCAATTTTCATATTGCTAAAAATAACGAGACAAAACTTTTGCAAACACAGCTAAGAAAGCACTGCAACAGACTAAAGCTAAACTACAATATCAAAATATGATATACAAACATTTCTGCCAAATCCAGCATTTGAGGTCAAGAAAATCTCCCTAATTAAACGGTGCCCCCCCCCCCCCCCCCAAAAAAAAAAAAACCCAAAAAAAACACAAGAAAATGAATAGGTCATAACTTTAAAATCTTGGATTTTACAATGCATGGAGAATCTATCTAATTTATATTTTGGAATAAAAAAAATTCTTTTTTAGTGCAATAACTGGTTAACTCCTATTAAATTTAGAAGGACTTAACCCGTAACTACACTAAGATTGCTATGAGTAATATATAAAAAATTTCCATGAATTTGTCCAGAGATTTATTTCAGGGATCCCCTATTCCATCCCCTATTCCCCTCTCCCTTGTGTTCCCCTTTGACTGGATTTTCCTGTCCCCAAATGCTGAACAGCATACATATATATAAGATAAGTTCCACACTCAAGCTGTAGAAAAAATACATACCGACAGACAAAAATAAGCATTATCCTGATGTAAAGAGATAAAAGAAAATAAGCAAAGAAAATAAATATAATCTAAAACTATAGGTATTTGCAGACAACTTGGCATCGTGTATTTTTCTAGAACTACAGGTATGACCCGATAACCTGGCATTAATGAAAACATTACAAAGTTTGACCGATATCAAAGCTTTCTGGTTTTTTTCTTTTTCTTCAAAACGATTATCACAAATAATAAGAATATGTCAATTCTTGTTTGTCTGAAATTTTGGGAGAAATAAACAACTCTGCCTAAAAATATCTGTAACATTGTTAAGCCAATGAAAATGGACCTAACAAATGCCAGATATTATACAAGTAACTTGTATATAAAAATATCCTTGTATATTATAGTGCCTAATGTACTATATGAATCATCTAAATGGAACCCCTCATGATAATGACATTGGATGCGCTCTCAAACAAAAACACCATAGAGAAAAAAAACACCCTCTCACATGACAAAAGGGACTATTAAAAGGATAATGGGACACTTAGGCAAATTAATGACAAAAATATCAAAATTATCTTATGTACTTAAATCACGCTAAAATGACAATTGTTAAAGTCCCAGCATGACCTCCCGTATAAATATTTTGGTTTTGAAGCGTAAATATATCTATATAATGTTGAACAAAATTTAGCCACCGATAGAATCACAAAGTAGTTTTAAAACAAGACATGTGACTTGAACAAACCCTGGAAGTTACAATAACAGATATTGTGGATATAGTATGATTGAAACAAACCTAAATCATTCATTTGACAATGTTTCAAGAGTTCACTGTGACAACTATTGTGAAATCTTAAAGCTCTAAGCTGACCCAGGTGGGTCAAGTTAGGAAACCAAAATTTTATTCTTTATAAGAAGAAAAGTTTTGTTCCTGTGACTGCCTAGTGTATTTATTTTCAGGACATTTACAGAGCAATGAATGTAAAATTCAAAACAAAGAAATGAAAATTTTGCCTGTGTCTCCCTTTAATTTGTGATGCAAAAAAAGGTGACATAGCAGCTTCTGAATCATAAGAATATTATCAGGCATAAGTTGAAACATAAGGGTTTGATTCCTTAAAAGTGATGTGCCTGAAAGCTTGCTATTCTTAAGTAAAAGGAAAGCAATTTGATTACAAAAGGTATAAAGAAATATACCCAATCGATAAAAATTAGCAAACTATATGATTTTCAATAAGCGTGATAGTATCAAAGAAATAAAATAAACCAAAAAAGAAAAGTAAAAAAAAGAGTAGAAAATTAAAAAGTAATGAACCCAAAGTAATAAAAAGTAGAAAAATTATACGCCTAACTAAGATATATATTTACAGATATATATATATATATATAAGAATGATCTAATATATATTTTTAACTTTTCCCTCTTGTAGATTATGTTTAATACCTTCAAACTATCGTACGCTTTACTTTCTGCTAAAAGGCTTCGAGTTTTTAATGTAGATTTATCCAAATCAACACCGCTGTTTCTCGATTGTTGCTATTTATAGTAACAAATAAAGTTCAAAGGTTATGGTTCTATTTATAGTAACAAATGAAGTTCAAAATTATTAATGCTATTTATAGTAACAAATGAAATTTAAAGTTTATGTTTCTATTTGCAGTAACAAATAAAATCAGTTTGGTTACTATCAAAAGTAACAAATTAATGAAATAAAATAGTTTGTTGGAATATCGCATTTAAAAAAAGTTAAAAAAAGATTTGAAGTTGTTTTTTGTTTTTGTTTTTTTTTTTTCCCAATGTAATATGCAGCTACACTTGATATCTTTTTACATGACTTGAAATTGTAAAATCATCATTAAACTTTTCTCTCAAACAATGGATATTTTTAGCACTGAGGAAAAAAAATGAATATCTTCAGCACTTGAGGAAAATAGTCTTCAATTTTACGCTAAAATGAGAGCTATTCGAAATTCATTATAAACAATATTCACTCAAAAATGCAAGGGGGAAAAAATCTTAAATAAACTCAACTATCAGCTTAAAAGTTAAATTTCATCCATTAAGTTTTACAATATTTTGACATAAAATGCACCTTATTGATAAGCAGTGGGTAAAAAACGCACAATTCACTCAAAATTTGTAACTACAAGCTTTGTACAAAATGGTCATTCAAAGGTTTTCACTAAAAGTGCATTTTCTGAAAGCTATTGAAGAATTTCCTAAATATCTATCAAACTTGTATTAACAATAACATTAACAAAAAATTAAATGTGATAATATTAATTCAAGCAATTTCTAAAAATTAAAATAAACATTACTGGCACTCAAAAATTCAACTGTAAATTTAAGCAGTGCAGAGGAAAATCTTCAATATTCATCAAAATATGTACTGGAAACCTTTCTACAAAGCTATGTGAAAATTCATTTAACTTAAAAATATTTTCACTCAAAAAAGCACATTTTTGGTGAGCTGTGGGGGAAAATCCTCAGAATTCACTCTAAATTCATTCTTCATACAAAAGTCAAAAAAAACAAAAAACATTCCATCACAACAAAGCATTTATACAACAAATTTAACCTATACTGCAATATTAGATATTTTCTCGAGGCCCAAATTTTGCAAAATCAATATAACAACTAAATGGAGAGGTTGAATATTTGCAAATTTCTTCTCATTATATTTATATGATCCTTAGTAAACATCAATCTATTTTTGTATTTTTGTAGAAAAAAAAAATTGAAAATTAATTACTTGCAATAATATTTGAAATTTACAGCAAGTACTCTGCTGGAATAAAACATGATAAGCCTCTACAATCAACAGCAATGCCACTCAGCACAACTAAACAGTCAGCCTAGGATCTATACAATACAGTTGTTTGTGCAAATCCAAATTTACATCTTCATATCTCAAACAGTTCCAAAAAAAAAATGGAAAGCCGGACACATCATTTTAAGAAATTCAGCAGGGTGTAAGTTTAACAGCCAAACTATTGATTTGAATCATTATCAAGTTACCTTTAGAGTTGTGAACGCCGATTCGCTGAAGGCACCAGTGCCCTGCTTCATCTCTTCTTCCAAACCTTCGAGTTTGGCTCGCAACTGGTCTCGTTCTTTCTCTAAGGATTTCACTTTATTTTGTAGTTTTAACATTAACCCCACATCAATACCCGCTTCTGGTACTTTCTGTAATATCAATGGGACAGATTTTTGAACATCTGCTGTTTTTTTTGCCCCCTCAGTTTTTTGTTTCTTTCTTTTTTTAAAAAATCTTTTTGTATTAAATTAGACCAATATTGTAAAGGGTTAAGAATATACTGGCACCGTCTAGGTTTACATCTGAGTAAAACCATCAACTTTTTGTAAAAAGAAATCAAAAGCAGTCCAAAGAGCAATGGGCTTTTTTTCAGTGCTGACATATGTTGCGGTTTAAATTTGATTACCCGTCCACAAAGTACCTGCCAGATATTTTTCTTGTATTTCCTACCATATTCTATTATATTCAAATGCTTAACCTCATTAAAACAATTTTTCATGAAAATTAATGTCATTTTATATGTAATGCAATAGCCTAAAAATTTACAATTTCATTCAGAACGACAAAAGTTTCATAATAAAAAGTACTAAAATGACGTTGCTGTATGGCACGTGATTCATCTGTCACCCCCTTGACCAGATGAAATTTCCGGCATCACATGGATAAATTGACATTTAGTCATGTAATAAAAAGTATATCACATTCAATGTTATGTAATTTAAACATATTTAAAACTTGTCTAAGAAAATATCTTAAAGCTTGTTACAGGCTGGATATAAAACAATTTCTTGAAATGATATAGCCATACTAAAAAGCAACAATGTTAAGATTTTTCGAACATTACCGGAAGTTTTTCTTTATCAGTTTTCTCTGCAGTGGCTTCTTTCATAACTTTCTCCATGCTGCTTGCCGAGGGTGGAACCGGTGCTTGACGTTTCTTCTTTTCAGTGCCATACCCTTGATCCTAAAATATCCCAAATTGTCATTTTATCTAAACTGTTACTTGGTTAACATACTTCACAATAAAAATAAATCTTTTTATTTATCAAAATGTAGCTATGGTGAACATACTTCACACCAAAAAACTAAAATACGGTACAAGTGTTTTAGTATTCTGGTTAAAACTAAGAACCAGTCAGGCTAAAAATAGCAACCAATCAAAAATGAGAACCAGTGTGGCAAAAAAAAATACCAGTCTGGCTAAAAATAGCAGCCAATTAAATCTTACCTCTTTCTCCCCTTCTTCTCCATCATCCTTCTTATCGTCAGGGGATACAGACTCTAAACTTATCATGCTGATATCAGAGGGTGTTCTTTTATGTCCTGTAGGACTTGTTAACATCTGAAACACAGTGACAAAGATAGTTAAACTGGAAAGAATTTACACAAACCAAAAGATCAACATGTAATTGCAAATCTCATAATATGCTGATAAACTAAGATAACATAAAGTCAATGTATACATTATTTACATTATAGCTTGTAATAGTTAAATTATATCAGCATATCTTCCTAATCTCTGCAGCAGACAGTTGTGTGCTATAAATAGAATAATAATCTCTGAACTTCTAAATATAGTAACAAAAAATCTCTAACCCTTCAGAAAAAACTGTGAAATAGTATAAAGAAATGGCTACAAAAATGGGTTTGTAATACATGTAACTATAATATAACTGAGCCATGTCACGACAAAACCAACATACATGTAGTGGGTTTGCTACCAGCATGGATCCAGACCAGCCTGCGCATCCGCGCAGTCTGATATTAGAATCCATGCTGTTGTGTACAAACCCTATAACAAGTAGAGAAACTGATAGCAAACAGCATGGATCCAGGCTGGTCTGGATCCTTGCTGGCCGCAAACCCATTATGTTGGTTTTGTCGTGACACGGCTCATATATACCTGCATTTCACCCTGCATATTCTCGAATCTTTGCAGCAGACGGTTATGTTCTTTGACTAGTCTTTGATGATGCTGTCTCTCAGACTCCATATCTGACAGGAACTGTAACTTCTGCTCCTCCCACTTCTGCTGATCTCCACCTGCTATAAATAGAATAATCTCTAAATGTCTAAATATAGTAACAACAAAGTCTCTAACCTTTGCTGACTAGAAAATAGAAGCACCAACCTTCTGTAAACTAGCTGGACAGCTTTTAAACATGAAAGAATTACAAGTCCCTGGCAAGATATACACTGACAAAGGTGACTGATGGACCACTTGAGCACAAAAGCCATATCCTTAAATGCAGGGGTACTTCAGTCAAATTAAATCATAAAGACTTACCAGCGACTGTTGCAATTTTAGACTGTTCCTTCAATTTCCTATTGGATTCATCAAGTTCGGCCTTGATTTTGACGTTCTCTGACTGAAGCTGCCCAACTTCCTGTGTAAAAGAGAAGAGAATGAAATGGATTTTTTCTTCCCTAAATATCCTTGAATTTTCCAAAAATTAAGAAAAATAAAGTAAATGCATTTTCGAACTCAAATTTCATGCTAGTGATACACATTTTTTAAATCTAAAGGGTTTCTCTTAATCTCCCTCTAGTAGTATAAATTTCCTTCTTGCAGCCCATATTTAATAGCCACCCAATTAGCTCAATAGATAGAGAACTGGACTGTGGATCAGGCGACCCGGGTTCGATTCCCGGATTGCGCTGGTCACTTTTGGTCTTATTGACAATGAAATTCTTTCTTTTCTAAAGTCATTCACACTGTACCTCTGCTCTGGAATATAAAGAAGTTATAAGTTCCTTGCAAAAGTGAAGGCAACTAGTACCGGTAAACTGCTTGACAACCTGACCAAGAATGATGTGGTGGCTAAACTGTGCTCAGGTAAATTCAATTAGGCTTACTGTCATGATCTGGGGTGAAAACTACCAACACCACCACCACCTCCACCCGTATTATGGCACCATAGAATTATACCACAGAATCAAGTTGCAAGGCAAGGCAAACTGATATCATTGCCAGACAAACTAATACCATTGCCAGGCAATCTGGTATCATTGCCAGACATACTGATAACATTGCCCGACAAACTGATACCATTGCGAGACAAACTGATGTCATTGCCAGGCAAACACTAATCATTGCCAGGCAAACTGGTTAACATTGGCTGGGAAACTCATACCATTGACAGGCAAACTCATATCATTGACAGGCAAACTAATATCATTGCCAGGCAAAATATTTAATGATTATAAGTCATCATGAATGTTGTTAGACTAAGTCTATAGTTAAGTAATCAAGGAGAGGATGGAAAACAACACGTCAGGAACACCAGAGTGAATTTAAGTGAATTTATTTATCTACCGGTTTCGGTCATATAATGACCTTCATCAGGATAATACAGAAATATTTTAAAATTTAGGCCCTGAAGTATACTAAATGTGTAAACTTAAAAGTCACGTGACAATACTATATTTGGTTATGTTCTGGAAATGTGCCAAGAATTTTTTGGAATTTTGCCAATATGTTGTTAATAAATATAAAATGAAAATGTTGTTATTATAAGTCCTACTTAGTTTTACGAAAAATACCATAAATGGATCCAATAGAAATTATCTGTTCATTGGTTTGACTAAACTGTCCGAAATTCATCTTCGCACAAGGTTTCAGAGCTGTTGTTCTTACTTGGATTTAATGGAGATATAGGTTCTGGTATTTGAAAGTTCATAGTTTCAATGTCCATGTTGATCTTCTGTGTTTTGTTGATGTTCTTAGTTTTTTTGTTCTGTTTCTTGTTGATTAGTTGTGGTGTTCCTCTATTGTTAATGATTCGAAATGTAGGCATCTTTTTTAATATCCTATATTTGCTTTCAGTTGGTTTGGGTGTTGTTCTTGTTTATCAATTTTGATATTTTCAAACTTTGTTTCATTGAATCCATGTACGTTTATGGAGTGTCTTTTAAGTGAATCCCGTCTAGCATAGTGCTTATTGCACCAGGAGCAAATGAACTTGGTTATGTATTCAGCATGAGTTTTTTGGTGTTGGTACCATCTGTTTTTATCAGTGTAAACGATATCGCAAGTTTCACATAATTTGGTATATCTGGGTTTAGGCCATTCTTCTTCAGTTATTTTTCGTGCATAATATATTTCTTCCGTTTTTACATAAGATTTAAGCCGCTTGGAGTTCTTGTTTTTAATTTCCTGATCCATACCTCTTCCTCTGTTCTTAATCTAATATTGATGTTTCTTTCAGTTGTTTGTATTATTGTGACGTCGAATTCACGATGTCCGTTTATATTAAAATGGCGCGAAACGGGCTTGACGTTGTTTTTACTTCGGATGTCGGCTAAATGGCCGTAGAATCGATCTCTTAGTGAATTGCCAGTTTGTCCTACATACTGTAATTTGCATTGTTTACATGTTATTAAATAAATTAAGCTTACAGTTTTACATGTATGATGTCCAAAAATTTTAAATGTTTCATTTGTAGCGGTACTTTTAAATTCTATAGTATTCGACATGAATTTACATGTAAGACAATTTTGTCTGCACGGGTAACTGCCATTCGAGAATTTATCGCTAGAAATGTCTGATTTAACTAAGATTCGCCTTATGTTATTTGATCGACGATATACTGCTACAAGTTTAGAGCTCCTAATGAAAGTAGTGAAATCATTGTCACTTAATATGTTAAGGTACGAGTTCAAAATTTTTTTTGAGCTGGTGGTATGTATGGATTGAAAGTAGTTATAAACGGAATGATTTTCTTCTCTTGTGGTTCGTTTTTATTAACAGAGAAGAGAATAGATCTATTAAGTTCTGATGCTTTCTTTATGGCATTTCTTACAAGTTTTGTAGGATACCCTCTGGCACGTAGATTGTTGAATAATTGATCAGTGCATGCTTTATAGTATGTATCATTGCTGCATATACGACGTATGCGGACAGCCTGACTGTAGGGAATGCTATTTTTCTGGTGTGTAGGGTGGAACGACGTGTAGTGGAGGTACATATGAGCGTCCGTAGGTTTGGTATACAGAGTTGTTTGAAGATTTCCATTGTCGTCTTTTATTATATGAACATCTAGAAAATTGGCCGATTCTAAGTTAATGTCATAGGTAAATTTAATAGTATCGTGATAACTGCTTAAGGCCTCCATGAAGGAATGCAATTCCCTGAGAGTATGAGGCCAGATTATAAAAATGTCGTCTATAAATCTCCACCAGACTGATGGGGTAAGTCTTTGGGTATTAAGAAAATTAGACTCCAATTCAGACATAAAGATAATGGCATAACTGGGTGCACATTTAGTACCCATAGTGGTCCCTGAAACTTGTTTCTAGTATTTATTGTTGAACTTGAAACTTGTTTTTTGTAGTACAAACAGCATTAACCTTAATAAGATCCACGTTTTCGGTTCTTGTAAAGATCGTTTATCTAGTGCTTTCTTAAGTGCGCGGATGCCATCTTTGTGTGGGATAGAAGTATAAAGTGCTGAGACATCGATGGTTGCCAGGTATGCTTTGGGTGAAATTTTCCCAATGTTCTGTAATTTTATAAGGAAATCGTTGGTATCTTTTATATATGATGGTACCTGTTGAGCTAGAGGTTTGATGAAGTAATCAATAAATTCTGACAGTTTCTCTGTTGGTCCATCACAAGCAGAAACTATAGGTCTCCCAGGATTGTTAAGTTTATGGATCTTGGGTAACATGTAAAAGATAGAAGTTCTACAATTCTTAGGCTGTAGGTAAGTGATGTACTCCGTCGGTAACAGTTTGTGCTTTCTCAGGTAAGACAACAAGAGCTGTCCGTAAGACAGCGCGCTCGACTTTTTTATTGCTTGCCAATAAAAAAAGTTTTTGCAGTAAAAGGCAATACAAGAATCTCTGTATTTTTAAAGTGAACTAGTTGTTTGATACCCTTGAATATTACAGCAATGTTTATATGACATAATTTATGGTAAAGTGAACAAGTGGATAGGAATGAATTTTTTTAGATTTTTTAAGTTTTTTAGTGCTTGCCTATAATACAAAACATTGACAGTTAAGGGCCATAATTCAAATAAAATCTTTGACAGAATTACCTTCTCCTGGACATGTTTGGGAATCATGATTGTAAACAAGTATTCCAACTTTCAAATTAATATCTCAAAACAGTTCAGTCAAAAAGTGGACTGGTACTAAAAAACTTAACCAAGATTCTAAGTCGATAAAAGGCCTTAATTTTTAAAACAAATCCTTGACAGAGTTACCTTCTCTTGCGTACAGATGGGGGTAATGATGTGAAATAGCATTAAAAGTTTCAAAGCAATATCTCAAAGGGTTAAGGCAATAAGTGGATTTTACCCATATTCAATGTATTTTCTAAGTCAAAAAGGGGCATAATTCTGTCAAAAACCTTGACAGAGTTATGTCCTCTTGTCTGTTGATGAAGGTCGTGATGGTAAACAAGTATGGTCAGTTTCAAAGCAATACCTTCAATGGTTTTGAAATAAAGTGAGGTGGTACAAAAAACTTAACCAAGCTCAATACACTTTCTAAGTCAAAAAAGGGCCATAATTCTGTCAAAAACCTTGACAGAGTTATGTACTCTTGTCTGTAGATGGAGGTTATGATGGTGAACAAGTATGGTAAGTTTCAAAGCCATACTTGTAATACTTCTGAAATAAAGTGGGGTGGTACGAAAAACTTAACCAAGGTGTGACGCCAACGCTAACGCTAACGCCGACGCCGACGCCGGGGCGAGTAGGATAGCTCCCCTTTTCATAGAAAAGTCGAGCTAAAAAACTAATAATTTCTTGAGCTATTTTAGTTGTTAGATCCCGTGGAATTTCATTATAAAATGTTCGGTTGCTAAGTTGTCTGAGTCCTTCATTGATATATGCTACTTTGTCTAGAATAACGACAGCGCCTCCTTTATCTGCGGGTTTTATGATTATATTAATATTATTCTTAAGTGACAAAATGGCCGCTCTTTCTTCTTCTGTTATGTTAGGTTTTATTGATTGTTTATTTTTAGTGTTAAGCAGTTTTAAATTAAGTCTATAGTTGCTTGAAATAAAAATACATCACTTATATCATTCCAAGCACAGATGACAATTTAAAGAAATATATATCCTTTCTAAGTTCCATACTTGTAGGATAGGTCTTAACACAAAAACCTACAAACTGCACAAAAATACCTGCCTGTATATAACAAAACATACACACATACCTTATCATATTTATTCTTCAACAATTGTTTCTCTGAGATCAGGTCCTGTTTCTCGCCACGTTCTTGTTCCAATTCTTTCCTCAGTCTTGCCAGTTCCTCCTCCAACTCTGTCACTTTGTTTGAGGCCTTTGCCGCTTCCGAAGCTGTGATCAGTAGCTTCTCTTTCTCTGTCTCCAACTGTTTAATCGTCTCCTCTTGTTTATGTATGACGTCTGTGCTTACCTTTTTCTGCAAATGAGAGAATTTCATAACATAAGTCAACTGTTTTCCCTGACACACTCAATCTTTAGTACTATGCCTCAGAAATTAATATTTTTCAAATTCTTTAAAACTGTCAGACATGTGTTTAAGATGTTCTAAAAATAGATTAAGAGCATGTTAGATGTTTAAAAATTGAAGAAAGTAACACTTATTCTGTGTTGTTTCAAACTAAGTATTTTAGTTATTCTATCAAAAAAGCATCCAAAAAGATAATTGTAACACTTGTTTTTAAAAATAGACCGGGAAACAAATCATCTGCTTTAGTAATAGAGAAGAAGCCATTAGAGGTATTGTGGGGTTTCCTTATTGTTTATGTATTTTATCATTTGGACTCATTTTCCACCTTAAATCTTTTGATTTGACAATTTATATGAGAAGGAAGTGAGCAAACAGGTCAATATTTCTAACCAATAACTCATTCCAAGCTACCCCTCTCATCTAAAATCATATTCATTTTACTGGACCATATTCATTCAAAAGGGCCCCATTAGCTCAATAGGTAGAGCTTTGGACTGTGTTGGACTGTGAAAAGTGCAACCCAGGTCCGATTCCCGGACAGTGCAAGTCACTTTTATTGTGATTTATCATGAAATCCCTTCTGCGGTCATTCACACTGTACCTCTGCTTTGTCATGTACAGCAGTTTCAGTTCCTTGCAAAAGTGAAGGCAACTAGTACTGGTAAACTGCTTGATAGCCTGCCCAGGAATGATGTGGTGACTGAACTGTGTACTGGTAAATTCCATGTGGCTTACTGATGTGATGCGAAGTGAAAACTAACAACACCACCTTGAAATTCAAATATTCTCGCAGACAAAGAATGACAATATCTATTACCTTGCTGCCTGGTTGTTGCCATTTACAGTAATAAATAAAATGTGAAGCATTCTATTTATAGCAACAAATAAAGTTCAAAGTGTGTGTTGCTATTTATAGTAACAAATAAAGTTAAAGCATTCTATTTATAGTAACAAATGACTTTATCTATTACCTTGCTGTCAAGTTGTTGCTGCAGCTGTATAATCTTGTTTTCTAGACCCTTGTTGACATTCTTCATGTGATCCATAGACTTAGCCTCAATCTGAAAATACATTACCACAAAATTACTTCCCTTGATTATGCAAGCAAGCAATTACCTCCCCAAGCAAAACAATTACTTCCCATTATAGTGCGAACAAACAATTATCTCCCTTGATAGGGCAAGCAAACAATAATTTCTCATTATCGTACAAGTGAACAATTACCTTCTATCATTGTGCAAAAGTACACAATTACTAACTTTCAAATAAACGCTATATATTTATTATGTACATGTCCAATTCAAATATAAGCCATGCCTATAGGGCGTAACCTTGACCTTTCACCAACTGACCTCTATGTAGGTCAGGCGAGTAGAGTTTATCAAGGTGCGATGCACCAGCTGTAATTGGAAGGACTTCCATGTTACAGTCAAGATTGAGTGGACCAGCAAACAGACAAACCAAAAATAACAAGCCCTCCCGATATATTAACCCAAGCATTAAAAAAGTTACCTTAAGTTGTCTAAGCTCTGCCTTGGCCTTCCTTCTCTTAAAGTGGCCTTGTATCTTAACAACACCGTAAATAACTCTCTTATACTGCCTACGCGCCAAGTATGCGCGCACACGCGCCTGAATAATGGTGGTTTTGTGTTCGTATAGTCTCCGCTTGAAGTCTTTTCGCCCAAAGTACCCTCTGATGACCGACTGTATAACGTACAAACATGAATTGTTAATGCAATATTTAATAGCAAAAACTATGTTACTCTACATTCATAAATCAAATAAAAACATTACATAAAACCAAGAAAATTATCTGAATCCCCTATATAATTATAGAAATTTTGCGACTACTTTCTCTAAATCATGAACACTATAATTTATTATTCATATTAATTTCACCCACTGAAAAAGCTTGTATTTCCTTGATTTGGGTGCAGAAAAAATCAAGCAGTCCTGTAGGACTAAGCCAAAATATTTTGATTGGACTTTTTTATATCTGGAGAAAATCATTTGTCACCTTTAAGGAAATTTTCAAAATCTAACATGCTTTACATTAATTCCCTATTAAAGGCACATTATGCCACAGAAATGAATAAAATCTACGTCTTTAGAAAGGGCAAACATAGAGTTTTAATGATGTTTAAATAATGGTTTTAGAGCAATTAAAATAATTATCATTAGTTGCAACAATGTAAACAAATTACATGTAGTATTTTGACTTCCAAACAAAATACTAAATCACTATAACTATGCTAATTTCCAAAAGCAACAGAACCAAAACATTCAGGTAATTGGCCATTGAGTAACTTCTGGGAAACTATAACGGGACACCAAAATTAAAAAGCTTTTGATAGTATTGCGGGCAATACAGTAGTCCCCTACCGGTCCCTCAAAAAGTTCTTTAATTGTCATACACTCCTGTGTATTGCCATTTATAATGAATTTGAGGATGAAGTCTGTATTTGAAAATATCAACCACAAAACATAATAAAATAAGTTTGTCTATATCACAGTAATGTGTTAAGTTTCCATGCTTAGTAAGGAAATTATGTTTATACAACCTTGTCATATTATTACGATGTGGGATTTTAAAGTAAATCCTATAAGGAATGAAGAAGTTGGAGTGAAAATACCAATTTCTCGAAAAAAATCTAAGTTCAAAGGGGACATAATTCTGGAAATAGTCTTGCTAGAGTATTTAACCTTCTCAAAAATGTCGAGTGATAATAAGAAACATATATATGAAGTTTGAAGTAGATACATTAGGAAATAAAGAAGTTATTTAAAAAGACAACATTTTTTCCCCTAAAAAATCTAAGTTCAAGGGAGGTAATACTGATATTTTTTGTGCTAGAGTTATAAACCTTGTCACATATGATGTGGTTGATGACCAGAAACTTATATTTAAAGTTTGAAGTAAACACCTTAAGAAATAAAGAACATATAGTGAAAAAGCTGAAAAATTTAAATCAGAAATCTTGAAATTCAGGCTATTTGTTGCCATAGCAACCAGAATTTTCAACATAGGAAGAAAAGAAAAAGATGTGCATAATCTCCAGACTGCCATCTACCCATATTTCAAGTTTCATAAAAATATTTTCAGTACTTTTTGAGTTATCACTGGATCCAGTTTATGTGTTAAATTTGCCATATTTTCAGACTATTTGTTGCCATAGCAACCAGAATTTTCAACATAGGAAGAAAAAAAAAAGACGTGCATAATCTCCATACTGCCATCTATCCATATATCAAGTTTCATAAAAATATTTTCAGTACTTTTTGCGTTATCGCGGGATCCAGTTTTGTGGACGGACGGACTGACGGACTGACAGACTGACAGACAGACAGACAGACGGACAGACAGACGGACAGACGGACAGACGGACGGAGGGTAAACCTAAAGTCCCCTCCGGTTAAACCGGTAGGGGACTAAAAAGCTTTTGAAAAACAAAATCTAAGGCATTATCATGGGGCATAATGGGCCTTTAAACAGACATGGCAGTTGGGAGCATTATAACACCATAAATGCACAGCATAAAAAATGGAATGCTTACACGTCATATGCTGTCAGATATGAACTAAATAAACAAATGACCTCATAAAAATCAATTCTCGGCTAAATGAAGATCAACCCACATTTCAATCAATTCTCTTTCATATCAGCAATAGGTAAGATCTAAATGAGCATTTCATATGTTCATGACATTAAACAATCAGGGTAAAGTGTTTATCAGCTTGACATGAGTTTGATTCTATCTCAGAAAATTTTCGTTAACACATAACAACAATACCTGAAGCTTGACAACAGCTTTCTGAATTCTGTTGAAAGATTTTCTCGTTTTGTAACCACGCCAATGTTTCTGTATAGTGGTGGCTGCCCTCGTCTCACGCAAATGCTGAGCATATCTGTAGAGTAACAAGTTTGAGATAACAGTATAAAGATAGCTCTCTTTCTGCGTTTATGTATTTATTTATTTTCATTTCTGATTTACAATATTAATTTTTTTTTTAATGTAATATTTTCTCAACTGAAAACCTCTTCAAAAAGTAGAGATAAAGATAAAGTAAGTGTTATGGGACAGATCTAAATTTACCAGAAAAAGGCCATGTCACAGTCGAGATATATTAATTTTTTTGTTACCTTCTCGCCAACAACCCTCTGCCATATCTTTGCACACCAAGCACGGAGATACGTAGTTTTTGGTATTTGTTTTTCATCAGCCAGCCGCGCACGTGCTTTTGTATCATGATGCCACATGCACGTAACTTGTCCGCACGTAATTTCTCTAAATAGGCCACCTGCCCAGCACGGAAAAAAATCTTCGTCTTTCCAAATCTGTACTTGTCTGGATCCTGCAAACAGATATTTATACTAGGATCAATAAATTCTACCTCAAGAGGGTTTTTTTTGTATAGGTTGTGCCCTGGGGGGTAGAAGATGAATGAAATTGCTTGTTTAACCCCTGCAATCCTGTTATAACTTTCACGTTGGGGTCCAAGGTCACAACACCGCGTTACAAGAGGGTACTGATATATAACGCTATTGTTACCCCATCCACTGCCGATACCTATAGCACTTACTGTTCAATGAATATTGACAAATTGTTTAAGCATTACACTGAGGTTAGAGTTATAGTAGCTGGCAGTGTACATGCAAATTCAGGAGAACACTCTGTACAATAATTTCTTGGTAGTTTGAAGGAGAAAGATTTCTTGTTTGATCTGTTTAATTTACTTTTGCTTTAAAAACAGGAATGGCCTGACTGAAACAGGACTGAAGGGTTTTAGGTTCGTGAAGAAAGGGTGTGGCATGGAGTAGGGAAAGGAGGGCAGTGGTTTTAGACCTGACAGCTCCTTCCCCTCTTCAGCTTCCATGAAAACTTTTCGCTAATTTCTTTTACCAAATTCTTTTAGCTAATTTCCATGTAAAATGGTATACTATTTCAAGGCCTTTAATATCTTAGGGTGGGGTAAGATTTAGAGACATACAATGTAGTTATGGATTTTATCAAATTTCAGTAGCATTTGCCTTGCAAAATTTCAAAAATGGACGTGTCCAGATTGCATTTTTGGACCTGCCTATTATCAATTTTAGAAATATCATGATCAAATTTCATTTGCCAACAGTATAGAGCCTGGTCAGACTGCACGGAAGTGGTCACACTGCACTGAAGTGGTCAGACTGCACGGAAGTGGTCAGACTGCACGGAAGTGGTCACACTGCACTGAAGTGGTCAGACTGCACAGAAGTGGTCAGACTGCACGGAAGTGGTCACACTGCACTGAAGTGGTCAGACTGCACAGAAGTGGTCAGACTGCACAGAAGTGGTCAGACTGCACAGAAGTGCAGACTGGCCTGGCTCTATACTGGTGGCAAATGAAATTTTATCATGATATTTCTAAAATTAATAATAGGCAATAGGGATAGGGTAGGATAAGAGTAAGGGGTATAAGGATATAATTGTAATACCTGTATAAGTTTAGGTAGCACATTTTGACACGATTTTCTGAAATCTTTCCTGTTGATGTCCTTTGATATAGCCAACACCCTGTACCTCTGGAAGAACTCTGGATACGTCCATCTGTAACAATGACAAATCTACTTTTATTACTGAACGATATAACTCGGGCATCTATTTGTGAAATATAACCTACACTTTTGTACTTATCATTCATTGATGTCACTCAAAAATGTACATATCATTGAATGTATTATCACTCATGAGTATGAAAATATTCTTTTCATGGTCTATATTTGGAACTTACCATACTTTGTTCAGAGATGGATAGTGTCAAACACCTTTTTTACACTGATATCCTTATTTATTTTTTGCGGGTATTCAAGGGTATAGAAATCAGATACACATATATTGTAATGTTTTTATTATTTCTAGGAGAAAAATCATCATTTTGTATTAAGTTATTACATTTTTTCATACCATATTTTACCAAATCAACTTAATGAATGCTTCAGTTGGTACAAATCATTACCTTAGTGCAGGAACAGAATAAGTTCTTCTAAATTTAATAGGAGTTAATCAGTTATTGCACTAAGGTGACAAAATGTTTCAATTGTTTGTTTCTCAAGCACAACTTGAAATCAAAATTTATAATAGAAGAGTCATTAGCATTATCTTAAATTTCTCTCAAGATCTCAAGGGATTTCCTAAATTTTTTAGAGCTTTTATAATTTTTTATTTCTTGCTGTTTTATTTCCTCAAGTTTTTAGAACTTTTATAAAAATGTTACCTTGACGGGAAGCCGGCGGCACTGATTCTAATTGTCTCCAACACTCCGCAAGCTCTAAGCTGCTCCACTGCTCTCTTAGGTTCGAACCTGCGGATAAAAAACAACAAAATATCAGAAATTTGTTGAAGTCATACAGCAGTTTTAAGGTAGTCTTACTGTAATACTTTCCCGCCAAAATTTTTTGGCCAATATTGTAATAAATCGGTCATGTCCAGGAAAGTTATTTTATTCACAATCTTTGGTGTTCAAAAATTTTTTAACCATTTATAACCGGAACTTAGTACATAGGGATAAAGGATGAGAGATTGTAAACAATCCCATGCCAAAGATTTAAAAAAAAAAAAATTTCCGGAAATAACCGATTTTCTACGCTATTGGCCGATGTTGGAATGTTTTTGGCGGAAAAACATTAAAGTATGACTACCTTAATGAATGTATGGCAATCTTAATGCAGTCTCTGTGTTATATCAGGTTTTTCTAATTATTTGGTAGTAATTCTTAGATTTCAACAAATCAACAGACAATTGGCAGCCCTATGAATGAATCAGGACACAAGTATGCACCTAAAAAGAACTGTACAGCTCAAATCTCAGCAGGTTCAAAATTTTTGTTAGCCTTTTGTACAGGTTTCTTATTCCTCACAGAAAAGAATTTACAAAATGTTAAGATATAAAGACAGAAGTCACAGAAAACCTTGTGATAGACATTTAAAGCAGCTGAGAAGTGAAAGTGAATTCAGTGTTAAATCTTAGTGAATGTATAACATACTTTATAACAAAGAGAGGCACGTTATTATAAATATTTCTTTTCAAAGGGAAATAACTCACTTTCTAATCGAGGTTCGTGCATCCTACATTCTTCACTATAAAAGTAGATAACTTGCCTCAAATTTCTTTTGATAAAGGTAGACAAGTCACCTTACATAGTTCATTTCAAAGGGGAATAACTCATTTAACATTCTGCATTTTCAAAAGGAAATAACTAACTTAAGAATTTTGCATATACATACATCTTATTTCCATAAAGGGAAATTACATACTTACATACATTACTTGCCTCAAATTTCTCTTGAACAAGGGAGACAAATCCTGTTTTTCCCTTTCTGCTCAAGATAACCTCTTTACAGGAAGTTATCAAATGAATTAATACTTGTTACTTAAATTTTTAATTATATATATAATACTTGATGATCAAGATGTTTCAAGTAGGTAATTAAGTACTCTTTTTAAAACACTACAGTTTCATATTGTATTGTCCTTAAGCATAATATCTAAAAATATTTAAAATCTAATCTCTTTCTCTACTGGTTTAAAGGCCAATTATTTTTTGTCATTTTACAAAATGTTAATTTATTTAGTTTTGTCATAGCGCGGCTCATATATACTTACTCAAATGCAGCTTTCAAGTCATTGGGTTTTATACACCGAATATAATGGGGAGATGTTGAATTCAGTGTGGTCATTAGTAGAAACAGAGACTCACGAAACTGAAAAAAAACAAGACAACACATTTTCAAAACTCTTGTGACACTCGCAAGATTAATATCATAATAATATACAGAGGAACCACTGTAGAGCGGCCATTTAGTAGAGCAATTACCTCTTTACAGCATAGTAGAGCAATTACCTCTTTACAGCATAGTAGAGCAATCACCTCTTTACAGCATACTAGAGCAATTACCTCTACTGCATAGTAGAGCAATTACCGCTTACAGCATAGTAGAGCAATTACCTCTTTACAGCATAGTAGAGCAATTACCTCTATACAGCATAGTAGAGCAATCACCTCTTTACAGCATAGTAGAGCAATTACCTCTTTACAGCATAGTAGAGCAATTACCTCTTAACAGCATAGTAGAGCAATCACCTCTTTACAGCATAGTAGAGCAATTACCTCTTTACAGCATAGTAGAGCAATTACCTCTTAACAGCATAGTAGAGCAATCACCTCTTTACAGCATAGTAGAGCAATTACCTCTTTACAGCATAGTAGAGCAATTACCTCTTTACAGCATAGTAGAGCAATTACCTCTTTACAGCATAGTAGAGCAATCACCTCTTTACAGCATAGTAGAGCAATTACCTCTTTACAGCATAGTAGAGCAATCACCTCTTTACAGCATAGTAGAGCAATTACCTCTTTACAGCATAGTAGAGCAATCACCTCTTTACAGCATAGTAGAGCAATCACCTCTTTACAGCATAGTAAAGCAATCACCTCTTTACAGCATAGTAGAGCAATTACCTCTTTACAGCATAGTAAAGCAATCACCTCTTTACAGCATAGTAGAGCAATCACCTCTTTACAGCATAGTAGAGCAATCACCTCTTTACAGCATAGTAGAGCAATTACCTCTTTACAGCATAGTAGAGCAATCACCTCTTTACAGCATAGTAGAGCAATTACCTCTTTACAGCATAGTAGAGCAATTACCTCTTTACAGCATAGTAGAGCAATTACCTCTTTACAGCATAGTAGAGCAATCACCTCTTTACAGCATAGTAGAGCAATTACCTCTTTACAGCATAGTAGAGCAATCACCTCTTTACAGCATAGTAGAGCAATTACCTCTTTACAACATAGTAGAGCAATCACCTCTTTACAGCATAGTAGAGCAATTACCTCTTTACAGCATAGTAGAGCAATTACCTCTTTACAGCATACTAGAGCAATTACCTCTTTACAGCATAGTAGAGCAATCACCTCTTTACAGCATAGTAGAGCAATTACCTCTTTACAGCATAGTAGAGCAATCACCTCTTTACAGCATAGTAGAGCAATTACCTCTTTACAGCAATCAGAACATTGCTTCCCAAAGTAACAATTTTACAATAAAATTTTGTCTCTCAATGCAAGCCAAAATGTTTGACATTCAAAGTGTGTAGAAGGGGCTGTATTGTAGTTATAAAGTCCTCATTACCTATGTTTTAGGGTTGAATTGTTAATGTAAATTTACTTAATTCATAACAAACTTGAATCCAAGATATATTTTGACAAAAAAAAAGTCAGGATTTCTGCATTTATATCAAACTTGAACCAAAATACAGTAGCTTTGGCCCAATATTACAAATACATAAATGTTGAAAAAATATATAAAGAACCATAGGTTTGTTTAAAAAAATAATAATAATGAAAATGAAGTACCCACCTGTGAGCCCACAGTTTTTCTCATCTTTTTTGAGGTTCCTTTAGGTCCAGATTGAAGGGCTTGAACCCGGCCTTTACTGGCATCAGCGTCAGATTCCAGATCAGCGAATAATTCCGCCACTAACTCATACTGTAAATACACACATACCAGATACAAACAGTTTCAGTTGTATAATAGGGTCATTTTAGACACAGATAAACACAACTCCTAGTAGCATTACATAAGTTCATCCTCGATAATTTTTACCATTCCAAAGTCAATGGTGTCTGTTTGTTAAGTTCTTTCAAAGGATAGTGGTAAAAGGCAGTTGAGTTTTTTGCATAGTTTTATCAAAACATTTTATAGATTTACCTTGTATAGTTTTACATCAGATTTTTTCTTACATCAGATATTTTCATAGTTTTACCTTGAATGTTTTCATAGTTTTACATCAGATATTTTCATAATTTTACCTTGGATGTTTTCATAGTTTTACATCAGATATTTTCATAGTTTTACCTTGGATGTTTTCATAGTTTTACATCAGATATTTTCATAATTTTACCATGGATGTTCTCATAGATTCACTGTTTTAAATCAGATGTTTTCTTAAAATTGAATATCTTTACCTCAGATGCTTTCATGATGTTTACATGCTCCTCAGACACAGCATCTCTGTTCTTATCTAAGAATCCTTTAGCAGTATACGTGACTTTATCAGCAAAATGTAAAATAATGAAAGACTCCATGCCAATCTTGGGTTTTTGGAAATGGGAATGTTTAAGATGCTTGCCATACAGCTTTTGGCACCAATTCTTGTCCGATCCGTTAGGTACCTGGAAAAACAACAATAAAAACGTAGAAACAATGAGTGGTGTTTTTGCAGGATTTGGGGAGAGTGAGTTTAGAGTCTAACTGACATTGTAAAGGTCTTATAGCAACTAATTTTCAAGCTTAACTGCAGACAGAATGCCTCCGTTGTCCCTAGAATGACTAGGCAAATTGTGTAGAACTTATGGCATCCCATAAACAAACTAGATAATGTTCTTCACATGAAAGAATCAAGTCTCTTGTTCAATTAAAACGAACGTAAGACCAGTGAAGGGCCAGTGCCTTTAATCACTCAGCAATGGAGATCTAAGTGATATTAACATGTCAGTTGTTGAATTAGATAATGTAATGAGTTTCAATTGTTTTTTCTTTTACTTAGCTCAAATTCTTCACCAGAAAGGGGGATTTTATTCTCAAAATTTTTCAAGATTTTTAGAAAAAGATGAGATTATTTTTGTCTGCATTTTTCAATCTACAGGTAGATTATACCCACCTTATACACTTCATTACAAAGGTAAGCAACTGACCTTACACACTTCATTTCAAAGGTAAATAACTCACCTACATTCCATTCCATTTTAAAGGGAGATCATGCATATTACATCTTTACCACAAAGAGAGATTACTTGCCTCATATTTCACTTGAACAAGGGAGACAAGTAACATACTTCATTTCAAAGGGGGAATAACTCATTTAACATTCTTCAGATTCAAGGAAAATTACCCAAACAACAGTCATAAACAATGAAGGGAGATAACTAGCTCCAAATTTCTCATCATGAAGGGAGACCACTCACCTTACACTCTTCGTCTAGCAAGTCAAGTATACCAAGTTTAGCTTCTATCAGATCAATACAAGGCTGATTATCATAATAATCTATAAATGACCATTCTATAGCTTCCTTCACATACTCTTCTTGTTCCAGTTTAAACACATGCTGCAAAAAATTAAAATAGAACAAATGACAGGCAAAAATCACAAAATCTGCTTTTCTGCCAATCTTGCATGTGAAAAAGATAGACTGTCTTACAAATGGAGGTTGGATATTTATGAAATCCAGCCTCTGTCCATTACAAAAAAGAAGTTGCAAAACTTCCCTCCATTACAAAACAGAAGTTGCAAAATTGTAACAAAAAAAAACACAAAAAAATAATAAACAAGAGGGCCATGATGGCCCTGAGGTCGCTCACCTGTATATAGCCCCCCCCCCCCCCAATTTTTACCCAAGGACTTTTATTTGTTTATTTGAACAGACTTGGTAGACACCCATAAGAAGATGTTTCATGCAAAACATCTAAGTTCTAGCTCATTGGGTTTTTTTTAAAGAAGATTTTTTAAGTTTTTACTATACACATATAGTTAAAAACAATGACACCCCTCGGGCAGGGCCAGTTTTGACCACTGGGCTTTTATTTGAACAAACTTTGTAGATATTTACTTAAAGATGTTTCATGCTTAATATCTAAACTCTAGTTATTTGGGTTTTTTCAAAGAAGATTTTTAAGTTTTTGCTATGTATATAAGGAAAATCAATGACCCCCGGGGCGGGGCCAGTTTTGACCCCAGGGCTTTTATTTAAACATACTTGGTAGACACCCATTAGAACATGTCTCATGCTAAATATCTTAGCTCTAGCTCTTTGGGTTCTTTAAAAGAAGATTTTATAAGTTTTTACTATATGCATATAAGGAAAATCAATGACCCCCTGGGGCGGGGCCAATTTTGACCCCAGGGCTTTTATTTGAACAAACTTGGTAGACATTCACTAGAAGATGTTTCATGCCAAATATCTAAGCTCTAGCTCTTACGATTCTTTAAAAGAAGATTTTTTAAGTTTTTACTATATGCATATAGGGAAAATCAATGACCCCCGGGGCGGGGCCAATTTTGACCCCAGGGCTTTTATTTGAACAAACTTGGTAGACATTCACTAGAAGATGTTTCATGCCAAATATCTTAGCTCTAGCTCTTTGGGTTCTGTAAAAGAAGATTTTTTAAGTTTTTACTTTATGCATATAGGGAAAATCAATGACCCCCTGGGGCGGGGCCAATTTTGACCCAAGGGCTTTTATTTGAACAAACTTGGTAGACATTTACTAGAAGATGTTTTATGCCAAATATCTAAGCTCTAGCTCTTACGGTTCTTTAAAAGAAGATTTTTTAAGTTTTTACTATATGCATATAGGGAAAATCAATTACCCCCCAGGGCGGGGCCAATTTTGACCCCAGGGCTTTTATTTGAACAAACTTGGTAGACATTCACTAGAAGATGTTTCATGCCAAATATCTAAGCTCTAGCTCTTTGGGTTCTGTTAAAGAAGATTTTTTAAGTTTTTACTATATGCATATAGGGAAAATCAATGACCCCCCGGGGCGGGGCCAATTTTGACCCCAGGGCTTTTATTTGAACAAACTTGGTAGACACTCACTAGAAGATGTTCCATGCCAAATGTCTTAGCTCTAGCTCTTACAGTTCTTTAAAAGAAGATTTTTTAAGTTTTTACTATATGCATATAGGGAAAATCAATGACCCCCTCGGGGCGGGGCCAATTTTGACCCCAGGGCTTTTATTTGAACAAACTTGGTAGACACTCATTAGAAGATGTTTCATGCCAAATATCTAAGCTCTAGCTCTTAGGGTTGTTTAAAAGAAGATATTTAAAGATTTTTCTTTCGGTTGCCATGGCAACCAGAGTTCTGCATGGAATTAAATTCTTTGAACAATTTTTAAAGGTGACCACCAAAGGAACATTCCTGTGAAGTTTGGATGAAATTGGCTCAGTGGTTTATGAGGAGATGTCATTTAAAGCAAAAGTTTACGGACGGACGACGGACGGACGGACGGACGGACGCCGGACGAAAAGCGATCACAAAAGCTCACCCTGTCACTTTGTGACAGGTGAGCTAAAAATAAGATGTAAATTGTTGAAACTGTAAACTGTTAACACATTTAGATACATAAAACAAGATGGCGGAAATTTATAAAAAAAATCCAAGGGCAAATAAATTTTGCACAAAGAATTTAGGGTCAGGATTGGAATTTTTTTTATTTTCAGAGCTTCTTATCCCTAGAGTGTTATAAGCCTCTGGTATAGTTAACTAAGAAGTTCCTTACCACAAAGATTAAAACAAACAAAAACTGAAGCATTACCATATTGAAAATCTGTTGAAGTTTCTCGTTTGCGTAGTTGATACAAAACTGTTCAAAACTGTTGATTTGGAATGTTTCAAACCTGAAATACAAGAAAATCATCAATAAATCCATGATCACTGTTTGTGTTTGTTTATTTTGCCCAGATTTTCACAAATTTAGGCCATATACCAGCAGTCAGTCCACCTAACCAGATTTTCAGGATAACTAACCAGTAATTACCAATTTCTTAGCAAGTGAACGACTAATTATCCCACATGTTTCCTGAACCAGCCGTTAGAAATAAATGACAATGAGGCTCAATGTCGAAGATCGTAATTGTTGTCTAGGAGAAGGTTGGAGAAACTTTGCCTCACTCCAGGTTCCAACCAGCAACCCTTGGCTTACAAATTCAATGCTCTCCCTATTGAGCTAAGCAGTTGGACAAAATCAGGTCCACATAAAAATGATTATTAATTTAGGTAAAAAATGCAGAACAAAAACTGTCTTACAAGTTTCTTGTTAAAATCTAAACTTGACTGAATTGTGTAATGGCCTTGAAATGAATATGGAATTGACAATCAGTAGTAATGGTATGAAATTATCAAAATATAGATTAAAGACTGGCCTGTACTTTACAGAATAGCATTAGATTGAGTATCAAAATATCGCAGTCTGTGAAAGTAAAACAAATTGTTGATTTTTGATAGGAAAAACAATTGTTTGAAGTAATTTGAAACATATAAACTGGAAACAATAAACTAATTATTAATGGGCAAGATTGTTTGCCAGTTTACCTGCTGGCTAGCATGGACAACGCCATGTTTGTTCTCAAAATATTAAAAATTTCCTACTTAGTGTAGGTTTTCCAGCAGTAAAAATTTTTAAACCACATTTCTTTCAAAATTGTGAAAGCTCGCCGATAATTGGCTGTTTGAAAGGTCACAAGAAGGTGGCCTCCTATTGGTGCTCATCAGATCCTAATTAGGAGCTGATTTTAATCAGAACGATCAACATCATTGTTAGACATCAAAAGGATGAATTTCATGACTTACCCATAAATATCTAGGACACCTATAAATCTGTGTAATTTTGTCTGGCTGACTAAGGCTTTGTTTATCTGAGTCACGATCCAGTCAAACAACTTTGAGTATATACATTTAGACAAAGCATCCTGAGCAAAACTCGCCTGAAAAAAAAAGAAACATTAATGTGATAATAAACACGGGGTTTTAAAATGAGTGAATTTATTGAATTAGTTGAATAAAATTATATCATGCAAGCCTCTGGTGAGCAAAATATTATTTTATTTGACAAGAATAAAAAATTTAGTAATGAACCTTTATACACAAATATAATAATTGATTTATCACATATCCAAAATATGAACTGTTTATAGTAAAAGATACAGTTTTTGCGTACAGTCTGACCAGGCTCTATACTGTTGGTTGACCAACTTCAAGTTTTTATTATCCATATTAAAATTTTTTTATTGCATGTAAATGTAATGTAATGTAATGCAATGCAATGCAATGCAATGTATGTATTATGATTTTTCAATAAATGGGGTTCCCTCCCTAATTGTGGAACCAAAGCAAAAAAACAAAAAATATTTAAAGGAAACTAACGTTCAATGTAGGAAATTCAGCAAATTAAGGATACAAAAGGAATCTGACAGTAAATTTACCTGAGCTGCCGTGAGAGGTTTGGTCAACGTCTCGCCAACAGTTGTGATTTTTTTGTTACAGATCCATGTTCTCATTTGTGATTCGTCTACACCAAACAACTTACAAGCTATACCCACAGACGGATCCTTCGGCTGGAAAAAAAATATTCGAAATCAGTCTTATTCCATATATGATATATATAAATAAGAACTTTCAACTGTTTGACAACAGACATGCATGCATCTTAACAAACTGGAGGCATTTCCGAAGACCACTGACACTGATAATATCACCATTCTAATTCTAAATTCCAAATTGTAAACAAATATCACAACAATTATGGATTTATCACATATTTCTGAATGCATAAATCATAACAACAAATTAGCCTACCAATGAATCACACAAACAAATGGATTTACCACATGAATTACTGCTGGAGGATTTACAATATGAAAATTCACCACATGAATCACTACAGGTGGATTTACCATTAACTAAGGGTGGGTTTATCACCCTTTTTTTAGATGGGTTTATCAAATAATTCACTTACACATGAATTTACAGCATAAATCACCAGAGGATGATTAATCATTTTTATCACTAAAGGGGGATTATAACATAAATCACTTCATATGGACTTACCACATTAATCACTAAAGGGGGATTTATCACATAAATCACTACATGTGGACTTACCACATAAATCATTAAAGGGGGATTTATCACATAAATCACTACATGTGGACTTACCACATAAATCACTAAAGGGGGATTTATCACATAAATCACTACATGTGGACTTACCACATAAATCACTAAAGGGGGATTTATCACATAAATCACTACATGTGGACTTACCACATAAACCATTAAAGGTGGATTTATCACATAAATCACTACATGTGGACTTACCACATAAACCATTAAAGGGGGATTTATCACATAAACCACTACATGTGGACTTACCACATAAACCATTAAAGGGGGATTTATCACATAAACCACTACATGTGGACTTACCACATAAACCATTAAAGGGGGATTTATCACATAAATCACTACATGTGGACATACCATATAAACCATTAAAGGGGGATTTATCACATAAATCACTACATGTGGACATACCATATAAACCACTAAAGGGGGATTTATCACATAAACCACTACATGTGGACTTACCACATAAACCATTAAAGGGGGATTTATCACATAAATCACTACATGTGGACTTACCACATAAATCATTAAAGGGGGATTTATCACATAAATCACTACATGTTGACTTACCACATAAATCATTAAAGGGGGATTTATCACATAAATCACTTCATGTGGACTTACCACATAAACCACTTAAGGGGGGTTTTTCACATAAATCACAAATGGAGGATTTACCACATAAATCACTACATGTGGACTTACCACATAAATCACTAAAGAGGGATTTATCACATAAATCACTACATGTGGACACACCACATAAACCACTAAAGGGGGATTTACCACATAAACCACTACATGTGGACTAACCACATAAAAGGGGGTTTTTCACATAAATCACAAATGGAGGATTTACCACATAAATCCCTACTAATGGATTTTAACAATTTAAACCAAACATGTAAGAGTGGAATTTATCACATAAATCATTACAGATGGATACATTGCATGAACCATAGCAGGACTGGTGTATTTAACAAATGAACCACTACGTGTGAATTCACCACACAAAGTACTACAAAGTGATCCACCACATGAATCACTTAAGGTGGATTTTCACCACATGAAATCACCACAATTTTATTTACTACATGAACAAGTGGAGGTGAATTTACCACATAACATGAATACAAGTGTTCACCACATGAATCATTAGGTGATCCACCACAATGAATTCACCACACAGTTTATTCTGACATACATGAATCAGCCCAGATTTGGATTTAGCACTCTTGGAGAATTTCTCAACCAAATTTGTGCTATGTAAACACAATTATAGCTCATGCATTCAAAATAACAAGTTATAAACTCTTTGAACTGTGGCAATATGCTGAAACTGTTTGAAAGATTTGCTAAAATCATAAGTTAAAAAAAAAATTCCTTCAAAATTGCAATACATTTTCCTTGCACATGAAAATGCTAAAACAAAGCTAGAAATTGTTACATTTTCTGTTAATGCTACATAAACAATCATACTTTAAACTGAGCAAAAAGCAATCAGTACAATAAATTACATTACACCTAAAAATATCTATATGAAACATTGTCAATGATAAAGTGCTTAATTAAACTTAAAGATTGGCTAAAATAATAAAAAAAAATTTCTCAAAAGTTGCTATTTTTTTGCCTTTTACCCAACAGATTTGTTTGCATTTCGTGTTAAGCTATCCTAACCATACTTTAAATGAGAAAAAGCATCAGTACAATAAATACTTCACCTCAAATATCCTAAGCATCTCCAAGGATCAGAACAAGTTAGATAACAGTTAACCTGGTTAAAAAATAATCGATTAAACCTTTTCGACCAACAGTAAAACAGCCAGACTAGCCCTTAAAGCTGCATGCCTCCAGATGAGCCAAAATATTTAAAGAAAATTAACATTAAGAAATATGGACTTAGATTTTAGGAAAAGTAAAATATTTGTGTTTCAAGAAATAATTTACATCTTATAAGCAGTTAATGACCCCAAATTGGCGGTCAAGGGAAGTAACAATTGTTATGTAAATGAAAAGTTCAAAAAAAGGGGCTGGACAAGTCCATTTTAGATATATTACAATTTAAAGGTTAAAAACTAAGTGAAAGTAAAGACATTATAAAAGTAAAATAATAATAATAAAAATAAGTTATATGTTTGAATCTATCTATATTTTATGACAGCCCTTGTACCAATAATGCTACAACATCAAAAAGCATAATGAGCCGCGTCACGACAAAACCAACATTATGGGTTTGCGACCAGCATGGATCCAGATCAGACTGCGCTTTTGTGCAGTCTGATCAGGATCCATTCTGTTTGCTATCAGTTTCTCTACATATTTTAGGGTTTGTAAGCAAACAGCATGGATCCTGATCAGACTGCACGGATACGCAGGCTGGTCTGGATCCATGCTGGTCACAAACACTATGTTGGTTTTATCATGGCGCTGCTCATATGTTTTTTTCATCTTCATTTTGCTAAGCATAATATCTAAAGCTTGAAACATAGCTGCAACAAAACCACGATTTGACAACAGTTACTAAGCTAGGCATTAATGGCAATCAAAATAAAAATCTAACTAAAGGTTTTTCCTTTCAAGGAAGCTGAATTGTTTCAATTCTCAATCAGTTTATCATCTATATAGCAGCCCATATGAAACAACCATTTAACCACTTAGCTATAGACATAAATGAAAAACTGGATCAGAATTTTATTTGTCTTTTATCCTTCATTAATTGATTTTAATTGCACTTATTTAGACATTAAGGGAAAACTTGAACAGAATTTTATAACTTTTATCCTTCGTGAATTTATTTTCATAGCACTTAGCTAGACATAAAGGTAAAACTGGAATAGAATTTTATTTCTTACTCTTCATGAATTTACTTTCATTGCTTTAAACTAGACATTAAGGCAAGACCTGAACAGAATTTTATGTCTTTGTCTCTTCAAATTTATTTTCATTGCACTTTAAGCTAGACATAAATGGGCAAACAGAATAAATATTTTTGTGTCTTTACTCTTATCAAACTGCAATTTAGGTTCATTTCAGTTGTTTCGAAGGATGGCAACACAGGCATTCAAGAGTCGACATAAGGCCCAATTCCCAATGAAAAGTAACTTTTTTTCCCAATTTCAAAAAAAAAACCAATTTAAGCATCCAAAACAATTAAACTGTTTTAATGTTTAATCTTATCTTCACTTCTTTCTTAATAAAAATGGCCACCAATAGATTACAAACATAAATAAAAATGAAAAGGTATGTAAAGGTAGTTGCTCAACTTTTCAAAATATCCAAATTTAAAAATGCTGCATAATTTTTCCCAATTACAGCAAAGGGCATTTTACCAAAATGGCTAGAAAATGCTTTGGCAACTGTTACCCAGCTAGGAATAAACTTCAAATGAACTTTATGTAAAAGCACTGGCTGAACATGTAGACACAACTTCTTTTCAATCTTTTACATTCTGAAAATGATGGAGGAAAAAAATCAAATCATTTGCAGGGTCAGATAACTTTGAAAGGATGGTAACCCCCATTTTTTTTTTTAAATAAATGTTTTTCAGATATGTTACTCTTAAATCATGTAAAGTTCAAGTTTAAAATTCTCTACACTAGTTTAAGTTTTCCTTCTTTGCCTTTGTCAACAATTGCACCACTTCTAGAAATGTCTTTTAACATGTAATCTACTATAAGTATATACATATACATAAAATAAATCACCAATATAGATATAACACAAAGCACCACTTCAACCAAAAGTTCTTGGTTCTAAATATTACCATTCTCTAAACCCATGCAAAAAACCCTTTCACAAAGCAGACCATGCACTATATCATTATCTTGTTCTCATTTCTGGAGACTTTGACTTCCATAACGATTTCAATATCATTGCCTTGCATATGATTTCAATTATTTTGCCTTCCCAAATGAAGACAATGTCTTTGTGTTTTCTAATGATTTCAATACCTTTAACTTTCATAATGAATTCAATTTCTTTAACTCCAAAACCTTTGACTTCCATACTGATTGTGTGTCTAATGATTTTTTTCTCCTTTAACTTCCATAATAATTTAAATTCCATTGAATTCCCTACTGATTTCAATATCTTTGACATCCCTAATGATTTCTTGACCATCCCTAATAATTTCAAGTCCATTGCTATCCCTAATGATTTCTATTCATTTGACTTCCCAAATAAATTCAATCCAATTGCTTTCCTTATTGATTTCGATTCCTTAGATTTCCCTTATCATTTCAATTGCTTTGATCTCCTGAAAGATTCCAATTCCATTGCCTTCCCTAACGATTTCAATCCCATTGCCTTCCCAAATAATTTCAATCCCATTGCCTTCCCTGATAGTTTCAATCCCATTGCTTCCCTAATAATTTCTATTCCTTTGACTTCCTAATAATTTCAATCCCATTGCCTTCCCTAATAATTTCAATCCCATTGCCTTCCCTATTAATTTTAATTCCATGGACTTCCCTAAAAATGTCAATCCCATTGCCTTCCCTATTAATTTCAATTCCATGGACTTCCCTAATAATGTCAATCCCATTGCCTTCCCTAATAATTTCAATCCCATTGCCTTCCCTAATAATTTCAATCCCATTGACTTCCCTAATAATTTCAATTCCTTTGACTTCCCTAATGATTTCAATTCCTTTGACTTCCCTAATAATTCCTATTATTTAAGTAGCCTTAATGAGTCTACCCTAACAATTTGTACTACTTAAACTGTCCTAATGATTTTAGTTCCTTTGGCTTCCTCAAATGGTTTAAATATTTTCGGCAATATTTTCTTAGTCATATATAAAACTAACAGGGTCATTCTTTTAAACTTTAAAATGTAAACTTAACCACTCAGTGTATTATTCAAATATCAAGAGGATCACAAATGGGGTGATTTTCAAGGTCAGATAAATTGGAGGAAACAAAGAATAAAAAAAAAAATTATAAAATTTTAGGATATTTAGTTAGAACTATACTGTTACACTGGTGCACTTTAGCTAAGTAAAGTGAAAAAAAATTCTAATTGGAAATATATAAGATAATTATTATACTGATGTATAAGTTTTTATAAAAAATTATATACAAAAAAGAAAATAATATATAAATAGTGCAAATTGTTAATTCTAACATATGAAAAATTACATATAAAACTGATTTTAATGTAACAAGGTTAGCTTTTAAAAAAGCTAGTAGCGACTCGCTTCGTAATTTTTTTCAAGGGGTGTGTTTAAATGTAAAAATGACAGTTCTGTTAGCTGAAGAGACTTCAGCGAACATCAAAATAAAAGTGAAGTCAACACTGGCCCGGTGCCCGATGGCCAGTGTATATAAGTTCAGGCCAGTGTAAATTTAAGAAAATTTTGTTAATTATTTAGTAGAATAAATTCAAAACTGGAATTCGGGCCAGTAAATTCAAAATCTTAAACTCATTGACTGAAAGTGACATATAAAGTTCTCTCAGTTTAACCAAGATGAGTATATATGAAGGTGCATGTAAACAGATTGAATGAAGAACCTATGTCTATGCACATTTACTATATGGCCTGTTGACCTTGACCACAAAATGTTAGATAGGTAGATTTCATAAAGATGTCTCTTTATACAAAATTAAGTTGTAATACATGTATGTTATTTAGTATTGAAATGAGAGGCACAAGTCCTAAAGTAAACACAAGTTGTCAATCAATTCAGCCAGAAAAGCCGGGATCCTATTAAAAAATATAGGGATCCCGGAAATTGACCAGTCTAAGAAGATGTTTTTCAGATAAGCCGGGATCCTATTAAAACATATAGGGATCCCGGGAATTGACCAGTTCAAGAATATAGTTTTCAGAAAAGCCGGGATCGTATTAAAATGTAAATAGATCTCACGGATTGGCCAGTTCAAGTATATAGTTTTCAGAAAAGCTGGGATCGTTTTAAAACATATTGGGATCCCGGGATTTGACCAATTCAAGAAAATAGTCTTTGATTTTCCAATTAATTAGGCATATAATTATAAGTATTGTGATTTCCGCATTTTAAGTTTGTTAATAAATAGCTCTAAATATATCTATATTCTAAGTTAAATTAATTTAACGTTCATTATATACAATAAAAAAAAACAACGTTTAATGGCCTTTCATTACGACAACAATCAACACAAATATAGTTCATTAGGTTTTTCCTCCATATCTTATAAGATCCCAGATCCCGGGCGTCCCGGATCCCGGCCAGTAAATACATACACTAAATACCGGAAAGGATAAAATGACCGGAAAAGGGAAAAATAAAAATGCACAGAACCAGATGTACACTTATGTTAATTAACCAAAGGAAAACTTACTACAGAGAAAACAGGTGAAATCGCTAAATCAGAAGTCAGTGTAAATATGATTTATTGAAAAGAATTCATAAAGACAAACATTTTAATCATCATTATATCTTTGCGCTCAAAACAATACTTGCTGATTTTTAAAAATGGCGTGAAAATTGAAGGTTTTTTGACGCTATGTAAGATTAAATTTGATTGGCTAAATAATTTTGGATCCTAGCCCTGATAGATAAATTTTGTAGAAAGCTGGAAGCCAAGCTTCGATTAAATTTTTGGATAGCTTCGGAGTTTTAGGTTGTTTCTCAGTAAAATCCTACCGTAATACCGGCTCGCCGTGGCGAGCCGGCATAAATTTGACCCCTTTTTAAAATGTGTTTATCATACACTTATAAATGAAATATTGAGAAATTTTTATGAAATAAAACGTGCATTTTTATTTTCCGTACTTTCACTGCAGTGAAATATAATTTCCATATTTTCACTGCTATCTTCCAAGACTACTTTCTTCTTAATTAAGTCAATAAAAAAAATACAGTAAAAGTCTTAAGAATTGTACAGTTAAAAACAGAGAAAATAGTATATGATAAAAAGTAAATTCAAGTCTTCTTGCCACAAGTGAAATATGACAATTATCAAATCACAAGATGAAAATAAATTCTGTATTTAGAGAAAAACTTGAATATCCTTTATGCATCATTTATAGTATACAGTCACCAGCAAGTCTTCTAAATTTTATGCATTATACAATGTATATTATATGTTTATGTAACTACTGACTTAAATGTAAAAATGGTAATGTGTGATTGTCAAATGAAATTATTACTGGTGTTAATTTTATGCAAGCATCTTCACACTAGATTTACTTTATGTTGAGTGTATATATTTATATTCACTCTGGTTAAACAGTTAATAACATCAGGTAATTAACAGTTATTCACACTGGTTTAACAGTGAATCACGCTGGTTTAACTGTGAATCACTCTGGTTTAACAATGAATCACACTGGTTTAACAGTTATTCACACTGGTTTAACAGTGAATCACACTGGTTAGAAATTAAATAACATCACATGTTTTAACAGTTAATCACATTGGTTTTAATGTTATTCACTTTGGTTAAACAGTTAATAAAATGGGTTGAACAGTAAATCAAAATAATTATAAGGTTTGATGCACTGCTTTTAACAGTAACTTTCACCAGTTTAAGTGTTATTGGTACCAGTTAAACAGTTACTCAAATTGGATAAACAGTTAATTACATCTGTAATGGTCACACTGGTTTAAAAACAGTTTATTAAACACCTGATTAATGGTAACATTACCAAGCTTAACCACCAACATAATATTGGTTTATCAGCAAGCAACCCCCAGTATTAATGGCAAGAGAAACTTACAATGTATAAAACCAACCAGAAAAACCTGACCCTTCCCTGTTTTAGATGTACATTAGAAAAACATGAAATGAACATAATGATAATTGTGTTACAGTAATGAACATTATATAAAAGTAATGATAATTATGATAATAATGTAAAAGTAATGATAATTATGTTAAATTAATGATAATAATGTTAAAGTTACGATAATTTTGTTCAAGTGATGAATGAGATAATGATGATGATGAAAGTGATGATGATGATGAAAGTGATGATGATGATGAATGTGATGATGATGATGAATGTGATGATGATAATGAATGTGATGATGATGAATGTGATGATGATAATGAATGTGATGATGATGAATGTGATGATGATGATGATGATGAATGTGATGATGATGAATTTGGTGAAGAAGATGATGATATGATGATTATGATGATGATGATGTTATTGATAATGATAGTAATTGATGTTTGTTATTACAATCTAAATAATTATGATTAAGATGATGGGGGGGGGCACTGATGATGGTAATGGTAATAGATGTTGATGATGTAAGTAATTATAATTATGATGATTACAAACTGATTTTTAATTTCTAAAAAAAAAGACTGGTTTGTAGATACTTTATAAAACCATCAAACTTAAGAAAATATTCAAGGACAATATACATTACAATGCATTACATTCCATTTTTATATCACCATTTTGTCAATTACCAATCTAAATACATTAAATAAAGTAAACATGTCAACATGCACAATCACAAAAAAAAATCAATAAAAAAAAAATCAAACAAAATAGCTGCTGCCATTTATACACAAACAAATGTTAGAAAAGCCAAACAGCCTTTTGTAGTACTTTTTTACTTTAAAAAGAATAAATAAATCTATCTCTATACATAATACGTTTAATACATAGCCAATCTACAATTATACCATGCATGATCATTCACAGACATTTTCTTTTGAGCTATACGTAAAACACTTACATCACATCAATATGTCTCCAACATCTCGCCAGAGATTAACTCATCTTTTTTTTCATTTAACTAATTTTAAAAATAAAAATATCCATCTTTGAACCTGAAATTCTTAATTCAATACTTACAGCCATTTCCGAACTTTCCCCGTCCTTTTCATTGATCTTGACATTACCAAAATGTAAGACAGCCGAGAATATTTGGAATATCATATTGATATCTTTCTCACTTAACCCTGAAATAAATCCAATATTTTACATGACTTTCTCACTTAAACCTGAAATAAATCCAATATTTTTTCATGGCTTTTTTTCAATAAACCCTGAAATAAATCCAATATTGTGCATGGCTTTTTCAATAAACCCTGAAATAAATCCAATATTGTACATGACTTTCTCACTAAATCCTGAAATAAATCCAATATTGTACATGGCTTTTTCACTAAACCCTGAAATAAATCCAATATTGTACATGACTTTCTCACTAAACCCTGAAATAAATCCAATATTGTACATGACTTTCTCACTAAACCCTGAAATAAATCAAATATTTTACATGACTTTCTCACTTAACCATGAAATAAATTCAATATTTTACATGGCTTTTTTCACTTAACAATGAAACAAATCTAATATTGTACATGGCTTTCACTAAACAATGAAACCAATCCAATATTGTACATGGCTTTTTCACTAAATGACTAAATGAGTAACTTTTTAGAAACTTATAAAAGTACACACTCTTTTGAAGAGTTAGAACAGAAGTGTTTCTGACACATAATGTGCCTTTAATCATACATAAATACAAATATATAGAAAGGTTTTTAAGAATAAGAAATGTTTTTTTGATTCAATTTATTCAAGGGACATGAGAATGATGGCAGCACCTACCTAACATTTTCATGGCTTCTTTAGTTGTCCTATACTCTTTTTCATCATCTACTCCATCAATGACGGGGTTCTTGCCCTGACTAGTGTAGTAAAACTTTTCTGCCGGCACTGAAAACATAACATCATGCTTTCTTTACACTGTGTATCATTACAATAAAATATTTCACAAGTTATGAATCTTATTATTTAAATCTCAAGAATATTATCAAAGTCTCAAGAATTTTTTAAATTTTGAATAATATTCTAATAAAATCTTAAGAACATTGTAAAAATCTCAAGAATATTATTTAAGATCTCAAGAATATTAATAAAATTTCGAGACTAAAATCTCAATATCATTATTAAAATCTCAAGAATATAATTAAAATCTCAAGAAACCTTAATAATATCATTTAAATATCAAGAATATTATCAAATTCTGAAGAATATTATTAAAAATCTCAAGAATAATATTATAATCTGAAGAATATTATCAAAGACCCAAGAATATTATAAAAATCTCAAGAAATCTCAAAAATCTTTAAACTCTCAAGAATATTTTCATATTGTTTAGGCAGTTTTCTTAATAGCCTCCGGGGAAAAAACTAGGTGTCCCGTCGGTATACTGTCTAATTTTTCTCAGGAAAAACTAGGTGTAGTGTGAGTATACTGTCTAATTTTTCTCGGGGAAAAACTAGGTGTCCTGTCGGTATACTGTCTAATTTTTCTCGGGAAAAACTAGGTGTCCTGTCGGTATACTGTCTAATTTTCCTCAAAACACTTTAAACAGTTACAATTATTTTTGGACTGCTGTTGGGATTTTTTTCCGCAAAATTGGGGAAAAAAGAGGCTATTTTGGCTTGGGAATAAGCTAATGGGGCTATATTTACGCCCCTTGTGAGAAGAAGAAAATGCCCTGTACTTACTTAAACCAAATTTCTTCAATTCTGGGAGTTCCCTTGATGCACATAGTTGATAAAACACATGATAATTTCTCTCATCCTTGGCCTGAAATACTACCCTGAAAATCACGAAAAGCAGACGTCCAAAATGAACATAATTTAAAGCAGCACACCTCCAGATTCATGCTTATTTTCATGAAATTTTTGAAAATGTATTAAGAAGTAAAATATTGTGATGTGCACAATGAAAATAATTTTCACATTGCAAAAGGCACTTACAGGCCATGTAAATTACCAAAAAGAGGTCAAAATATACAAAAGATTTCAAAGTGCAACTTTCAGCATTGGTTAAGCGTTACCTTATGGTCAACCTTTGGCCATTTTTAGCCTCTCACAATTCCAAAATTTTCTTGGAGATAAGGGAGTCTGCTGATCCCAAAACATAAGGGGACCCTCTGGCAACCCCCAGAAGTATATATTATTTGTTAGGGCATGGCGCTAAAAAAGTGATCACTTTTTTTAACATCATTTCTCAAATGAAAACAAGTGTTTGGGGTCTAAATAGGGCATTCTTTTCACTATTTGAGGCCTCTCAAAGGGGGGTGGCGTGAAAAGGCGTCAAAAGACGTGAAGTAATGGATTAATGTAAAAAATTTAACTAAGTCAAAAAACAGGAAGTGGATGAGCAACTGACCTGAAATCAAATCCCATAGTATGGGACCACCTGTCAATGCCGTATGCCAAATATCAAAAGGATGTGAAAAGTTGTTGCTGAGAAAACCGTTACAAAAAATTTTTTTCCCCACCCGCACCGTACTATTACCCAGGTTTGCACCTGTGAAGCCCGGCCAAAAATGTAGTTACATAATTATAGCTATATGGGTGTCCAATATTATTAATTCAATCTTGAAATCCCTTACAATAACTATTGGCAATTGCATGGTCAAAGCAGGGAAAGTCTCATAAACATTTTTTATATGGACTTAGATTAAATTTTAACCTCTGAATCCAAATATTTGCATATACGTACCTGGATTTTTCTAGTAGATATGTTCTCATGTGTGCTCCAACAATCTCGTTGCTTTTACTAAAGCTGATCTCTATATACTTGCCAAACCTACTACTATTGTCATTTCTGGTCGTCTTGGCATTCCCTATAGCCTATAAATAATAAATCAAAGTATTTAACACAATGATTTTTCTCACTTAATTGGGAAAAGGCCTTGTCCTCTTGACTTTGTGGAAAATCATTGCTAAAATTTCTAATTTGGGAAGTAAAAAAGCAGGTTAAAGTTCAGATTTTTGGGAATTGCATGATTGTAAAGAAAATTATAATTGGGAAGATGTATTTTATAGGAGACTGTTACATAAACAGTAAAGTCACTGTAAAGCAGCCTTCAGCCTTTATATTTTTCGTTGGAAAAAACAATTCTGTGTTGTTTCAAACTAAGTATTAGAGTAATTTTATCTTGGAAAAGTGATCATATCATAATTAAGCTGTCTTCAAAACAACTTCTTAAGAGCTATTTATAGCGTGCCAGTGACGATTGTTTCTGACCTATCAATTGGCTTAAATTTTTGTGTCAAACAGTTAGCAAAATGAGAATCAATAAACAATAAAGAAAATATTGTGTAAATTATTTTTTGTTATCAATAACAACAGTAGATGTATCAGTCAAAGAATAAAGAAAAATTTGTAGAAAATTTAAATATTCTACACGCCACATACCTCCATGATAGGATTGGATGCCAGTACTTTCTTTTCGACTTGGGTTTCAGCTTGTGATCCACCGACCATAGCGAAATATCTCATGGCATACTTGGCAGAGACAGTTTTTCCCGCACCAGATTCCCCACTGACAATGATAGACTGGTTTTGCTCGAACCTGCATTTAACATATAGAAAAATTACATCTGTAAATCAGTCACACCATGAAAAAACCGACAACCTATGCGACCAGCATGGATCCAGACTAGCCTCAACATCCGTGCAGTCTGATCAAGATCCATGCTGTTCGCTTACAAACCCTATTACAAGTAGAGAAACTGATAGCGAACAGCATGGATCCTGATCAGACTGCGTGGATGCGCAGGCTGGTCTGGATCAATGCTGGTCGCAAACGCACTATGTTGGTTTTGTCGTGGCGCGGCTCAAATCAGACTGATTCCATGTGTGCAAGTTAAATATAACAGAAAACCTGAAAACGCTTAATTAAGCATTATTTCAATTGGTTTTATATAGAAAAACAGAACTTTCAGAGAGTAAAAAAAAAATTGAACTTCAGGCAAATGTCTAAACCCTTGTACCAATGTGATTCCTATGAATAACATTTTAGAGGTAAATTTGGTTAAATAGATGATATTGAATGAATGTAGATTTAATACTGAATTTATTGGATGAGTTGAATAAAATCATAAGATGCGAGCATCTGACAAGCATAATATTTTTTATTCAACAAGTTCAATAATTTAGAATTGAATCTACATGAATATAATATTCTATTTATCACATATTCAGAATAAGAACGGTGTACAGTAAAAAATTTGTCATTTTTCATTGACGCTTATTTAGTGTAAACTTAACATTAGTGATTTAACGCTACATTTGAAGCCACATCAACTGTTTGTTACTACACTAGTGTAATATAGTATTTATTAAATGGGTTTAATACACTCCTGCGCCACAGTTTATGTGACAATACTTTTTCCATCTTTTTTTTCCTCAATAATCACAGTTCATATAAACTATCCCTTAATCAAAATTTCACAATATTTTTTCTATTATTATTTACTGCCTAAATTTTCCATTTCAACCCGAGATACCAATTTACTTATCTTTCTAGAACCTATTGTGACAAACTAAAATTTTATCAATATGATTTCAAATATATCATGTAACCTTCAAGTGATAAAAAGAGTGGGGCAGTCATTTTAGACGTTTTTTTTAAATAAACCCCATTATTATAATAATATTTAGATACATTTTTCATTATCAATTTTTGACCATTTTGACAGTCATTCTTTCGAAATATTCAATCTGATAGCGAAAAAAATAAGCATGACTAGGATCACTTCCAACACACAACTATAAGTAAAACCGCCAATTCCATAGAAGTAATAACACCCAGATCTCGCAATTAATTTCATATATACCTGGACATTCTTTTGTACGCCTCCTCCGCCACCGCGTAGATGTGTGGATCCATGGCGCCCATGTCCTGACCGCTGTATGCTTGTATGATGTCATTGTTGTATATATCAAGCTGCTCATATGGGTTAATAGCTACAAGAACAATTCCTGCAAATAAAATGAATAGAAATTTATTACTTCTGTAATGCAGAGAAAATGAAATCGCTTTTTAATTTATCGAAAAATTTGTGTCAATGAAACCTTAACCTGCAAAAATTAATTTTAAGATTACATGTATCAAATTTGAAGAGAAAAATGTCATATTTTGTATCACAGTCAAAATTTCAATTAAAATGAATATAGTGATGGCCACTTTTGCCCACCATAATGTGACTGTTCAGAAATGTTATAATTACATGTTGAAATGAGTGAAATACTAAGAGAAAAATGTCAAATTTTGTATCACAGATCAAAGTTCAATTAAAATATAATGGCTACATGTATGTAATACAACAAGAGAAAAATAATCATATTGTATTGCTGGAATTGATTTGCCATTACAAAATTGTAAGAAAATATAATGAATTAAGGTCACTACTGCACGCCATACATGTACAAAAGGCTAAATTTGCAAAAATAAAGATAAGGCACCAAGACAAAAAGTCATTATTAATTTGAATCACAGAAAATATAATGATGGCCAATATTGGCTACCATACATGTACAAAAATTTAATTGCATAATGTTACATTCTTATTACATAAAACAGGCCCAGATCCAATGGGGGGTGGCCTTAAATCCCCTCAGTCACCCTGGCCTAAAAAAAATATTCTATCAAAGATGGCATATTTAGGGTAAAATATTAACAACAAGAGCGATCAGTAATCACATGTGTCGCCTCATGATGGCCTATTTCATGTTGGGACAAATTTTGTGACAGACAGACAGACAGACGGACACTGTGCACAACTAGACTTGGTACTGATCATTCCTGTAAAGTTTGGATAAAATTGCACCAGTAGTTTATGAGGAGTAGTCCGGACAAGCTTTTGCGTATCTGGGAACACACAGAAAAAAACACCTTTTTATCAAAGGGCCATAACTCGGCCAAAAATCATTCAACCAGAAAACCAGTGCAATATGGGCAAGGACTTGAGCTACAGATCAATCCTGTAAAGTTTCATTGAAATTGCATTAGTGGTATAAGAGAAGTAGTCCGGACAAACTTTAAAAATAAAAATTATTAAAGGGCCATAACTCTGACAAAAATCATTGAACCGGAAAATGCTGACAATATGCACAACTAGACTTGGTACTGATCATTTCTGTAAAGTTTGGATGAAATTGCACCAGTAGTTTATGAGGAGTCGTCCGGACAAGCTTTTGTGTATCTGGCAACACACAGAAAAAAATACACCTTTTTATCAAAGGGCCATAACTCGGCCAAAAATCATTCAACCGGAAAACCCATGCAATATGCGCAAGGACTTGAGCTACAGATCAATCCTGTAAAGTTTCATCGAAATTGCATTAGGGGTATGAGAGAAGTAGTCCGGAAAAACTTTAAAAATTAAAAATTATTAAAGGGCCATAATTCTAGACAAAAATCATTGAACCGGAAAATGCTAACAATATGCACAACTAGACTTGGTACTGATAATTCCTGTAAAGTTTGGATGAAATTGCACCAGTAGTTTATGAGGAGTTGTCCGGACAAGTTTTGTGACGGACAGACAGACGACGGGGAAGTGATCCCTATATGTCGCCACTACTCCGTAGAGGCGACACAAAAACTGCCTTAAGATAAATGTAAGTCACTAAAGTTTTGTATATTGGTATATTTTTTTTTCCAGTGGGAGATCCCCCAGTCCCCCCCCCCCTTAAGAGGGGAGTTTGGACTTTCAAATATAACCACCCCCAACCAAAAAATTCTGGATCTGGCCCTGTACAATGTCCCATGAGAAAAATGTCATATTTTGTATCAAAGACCAATTTCAAATAAAATATAAATAAAGACTACTAATGCCCACCATACTGTTCAGAAGTGTTATAAATTCATCTTTAAATAAATAAAATACCAGAGAAAAATGTCATATTTTGTGTCACAGATCAAGAGAAAAATGTCATATCTTGTATCAAAGACCAAATTTCAATTAAAATATAATGATGGCCACTCTTGCTCACCATACTTGTAACAGAAGTCTGACCTGAGTATGACTGCGGGACATATTTATTAGTATTTAATGTATACATCATTATCAGTATTATAATCAGCAGTCAGTGACTGTCACATTAACATGCCCAGAACAAACTAGCCACTGGTCACTACAAATTGAGCTGTCCACCGGCCACTTTTACTTTCCAGCTGGTTTATTTCACTTATAATCTCTGACAATTTTCTTAATATCAAAATTTAATACAATTTTTTTCTGCATAAAATTATTCTGTGAAGTTTTTTTCTTCTTACATTCTTTTTTTACATTTTTTTAAATTAAAAAATTTCATATTTGCAAATACAATGTTTTGTGTAAATTTGCCTATGTTATTTTTTTCCTTCTAAAAAATTTAACATATTTAACTTTTTTTTTTTTGCTTCATTGGTTTTCTTTTATTATACATGTATATTACATGTATATATTTATTTCAAAAATCCAACAAAACCAACTTTCTGTCCTAAATCAAATACATGCAAATGCATTTCACTTGGCATTATAACATGCAAAAACATAGATCATAATGCCTGACTTTTGACTTTTATTATTATGTTCATTTTACTAGATATATAATTAAACAAACAGTTTTTGTTTTCTAAATAATCTTACATATTAAACCAGGAATAAAAATTTCTGTTTTCTTTCCCTGTGCTTGAAATTATTGTAACCTTTTCTTATCCTGTATCAATAAGAAAAAAGTCATTAACAAAAATAAATACAACACTACGAGGTAGTCCGTTGTCGCACCACCTAGAACCTAGTCGCACCACCTAGGATATACTCCGCCGCTGGTACATTCATTAAATCAACCGGACATCTAATTTACAACATAACAATGTTATCTCTTACAGTACAGGGGAACACAAAAGCTTGGCCACTTTTTATCATTCATGTTATATTGACAAGATTGATGCAATAACCAAGTACCTTCTTATTTGTTTCTGTAACGTTTACTCTAGCTTTGCACTGAGCTCGTTACACGTACACGTGGGAAACTGTTTCACAACATTATTGATTAACCAACACACCATTACACTTGTGAACATATACCTTAAACAGAATTCTCTTGTACTCTAATGTGCCTATATTTTGACATTATTTTATGGGTCAGCTTGACACAAAAACAGTTTTAGCTCAACCACTTTTTTGTTACTTGGTACGATGAATTTTGCACTAAGCTATATGCATTTTCATTATTGTCTTCCCTCAGATCACTGTTAATGTAAATAAGACATTGAGTAGTTTATGTAATTAGGCGATACACAAAATGATCAGATAAATCATTGGTGTCGGCCAATGCTGTAAATATAATTTCTTTACATTATTTGATTCCTTTTTTTATTTTGATTCTTTTTTTTTGCAGAGTTTTACATCACAACAACACAGTATAGGTCATATGGCGACTTTCAAGCTTTACTGGTGGAAGAGGACCTCAGGTGCCCTTAGTGCATTAATTTCAGGCATGAAGTGCCACCTAAGTAGAACCATCGACATTCCAAATGACAGTTGGATAGCTTCGTCACATGAAAGGATACAAAGTTTCTGTCGGGATTCAAACCCACAGCAGTGATCATGGGCAAGAGGTTTGAAGTTAACAACCTTAACCACTTGGCCATGGACGCCCCTATATAATCAGACAAGGCTGAGAAGGGACTTCAAATCAAATAATTTGCCTATCACCAATGCAGGGTCCTTTACCAAATCAGATGCTTAAATGGATTCCTTCAAGAAATCTTTTGTGTTCTTATGTGTTCAAAAGGTCAGTGGTTCATTTAAAGTGCCTGATTATACATAAATATATGACTAAAGGGCTGCCTGAGGATTGCCTTCATTTCTACAGCTTAAAAGATACTGACAGGGTTCGTACAAATCATAAGTTAAAGCTGCTGGAACATAGTTTGATTACCCTTTTACTGCCGTATATATAGCTAGCCAGTGTTAAAATCTTAACTAGAAAGTCTTATAACTTCCAACACAATCAAACTTAAATGAATTCTGTATAAACTAAGTTGATCAGCCAACAGTGTAGAGCTTGATCAGACTGCACAGACATTCAGGCTGGCCTGGCTCTATACTGATTGAGAGAGAGAGTTAATCCCTTCCAGTTCCCGCATGATAAGGGATAAAGAATTGAAATAAAACATATGTTACATATGAATTGGTATACAATTTATATGTACATGTAATCATAAATGAGGTGCAATTACCCATCATTGCTTTAGCATGATTATCATAAACGATCAAGTTAAGATAACAGTGTACAATGTAAATGAAATTATATCATATGATATCATATTTCATGACAAAAGATAAATGATTTGTTTTATCCAAGAAAAATTAATGTAATGCAATTTCCAATCATATTTTGTTGTTTGTTAGGTTTTTATGGTTTGTTTGTTTGTTTGTGTCATTTTACGCCTTTTTCCAACAGTATTTCAGTCATATAGGCGGGTAGTTTCCTAACCATCGTTCCTGGAGAGTTACACCAGTACTTGACTACCTTCCTCCGCGCTAAACTACCAAAGCATCTCCCGGGGATCGTACCCACGCCAGAGAGGTAACTGGATTAGAAGTCATCGACTCTAACCACTCGACCACGGAGGCGGTTAGGTTTTTATGGTGATCAAACACAGAATAAAATATATGGCGCTGAAATAGGAAAGATGATTTTGACTTCCCTCTGGTGAAACAAACGTCAACGTAAAACCACCTCACCTGCTGGAGCTAACAGACGTATAGAATCCAGTTATTCTAATGCATTTAGTCACCACTTACAGTCATGCAGGGATAAATGGTGGCTGCAATTTTTCATGTCTCAACCCTTAAAGGCAACCTCTCAGCCATCCCCATATAACATACCATTTTCCCCACATAAACATGTATTATGTCAATGTCCACCAATATATCAATTTTTTAAAATATCATGTTATCTTCTATTTCCCCCAAAGTCCATGTCATATTTCCCCCATACATCATTTCATATCCCCTAATTATATCATATCATATTTCAACCATATATCATGTCGTATCCCCCACCCATATATCATGTCATATTTCCCCCCATTTATCATTTCATCTTCCAGTATTTAAAGATTAATGCACATTCTGCAGAAATACAATAAATATACTATATTTGGTCTGCCAATTACTTCTGCTAACAAATCTATACACCAGTATAGGTTCTGGAAAATTCTCAAATACAGGGGGGTTAAAGTTAATATTTCTCTGTTATCTAAATATAGACATCTGTACTAGCCTATTCTTATAACAATTTTTACCATTGTCTACCAGTGCCAGGGTTGTAATCCACAAGGGGTTAATTCACCATGTAATGAAAATAAATGACTACTATAGTTTTTAGGTCTAACGACTGTGTTGGTCTGGCACATATGCAAAACCTTCTAAACTGTCAGCCCTTCTAGAAAAAAAAAGTAAGACCTTCTAAAACATTTATAACCTTTTAAATGCAAATCATTGACAAGTTAGACCTTAGAAATGTAAGACCTTTAAAAATGTAAGACCTTTTAAAAATGTAAAGACCTTCTAAAAATGTAAGACCTTCTAAAAATGTAAGACATTCTAAAAAATGTAAGACCTTTAATGTAAGACCTTCTAAAAATGTAATACAGTCATAATGGCCCTGATTTGCATGACAGTAAGACAGGCATTTCAAAGTAATTTGGTTTATATAAAAAAAAAAAGTAAAAAATCAACATTTACTGTCGCAGAAGAAAATCGGTTAAAGTACAAGGCCATTCAAGTTTGTCCTGAAGATATATCAATGCTCGACCTCTTACAAGCCCTAAACTTTACTCTGAAATACCTGCCACTTGTGTAAATAACAAAACTTTCCTGTTGATTTACATGAGTGGTTGATATGTAAGCAAAGAGAGCAAAAATGTCAATTGCTTAAAAAAATCATGTGCATATTTTAATGCAAGAAAACAACAACAAAAACAACTATCATTAAAAAAAAGCTTTTTATTTATTTTTAATGACAGAAACAAGAGCTGTCGGTAGGACAGCAACGCTCGACTATTCTTAGTGTTTGATAGTAAAAAAATGCTTGATACAGTTACCTCCTCCTGTTTACAGGTTGGGGTCATGATGGTGAACAAGTGTGCAAAGTTTCAAAGCCATATGTCAATGGACTTGAAAATATTTGAACTATTACAAAAACTTTAACGTAAATTCTAAGTCGAAAAAGGGGCATAATTCTGTTAAAATGCTTGATAGAGTTACCTCCTCTTGTCTACAGGTTGGGGTCATGATGGTGAACAAGTGTGCAAAGTTTCAAAGCCATATGTCAATGGACTTTGAAAATATTTGAACTATTACAAAAACTTTAACGTAAATTCTAAGTCGAAAAAGGGGCATAATTCTGTCAAAATGCTTGATAGAGTTACCTCCTCTTGTCTACAGGTTGGGGTCATGATGGTGAACAAGTGTGCAAAGTTTCAAAGCCATATGTCAATGGACTTTGAAAATATTTGAACTATTACAAAAACTTTAACGTAAATTCTAAGTCGAAAAAGGGGCATAATTCTGTCAAAATGCTTGATAGAGTTACCTCCTCCTGTCTACAGTTTGGGGTCATGATGGTGAACAAGTGTGCAAAGTTTCAAAGCCATATGTCTATGGACTTTGAAAATATTTGAACTATTACAAAAACTTTAACATAAGTGGTTACGCCAACGCCGACGCCGACGCGGACGCCGACGCTCGGGTGACTGCAATAGCTCTACTTATTCTTATCGAATAGTCGAGCTAAAAAGCGTTCTTGATGCACATTCGAGTATCAACTGTCAGGATTAATTAGACGGACGTCTCAGTTGGAAACGACTTTAAATACTCTTATTGAGTGTGGAGGTCACAAGAAACCTCCGTTTTATGTCATCGTAAATGTGACAGGGGGGTAAAAACTACAAGAATATGATTTTATGCTGGATAATTACTAGCATGTCAAACATTTGCAATAAAATGTCCATCAAACAGTATATCACTGCTAATTGATTTACAACCATAACAATATCATATTAAACACTTGTTGCTGAGTTTTTATGCCCCTCACAATTAGCCCTTGTCAGTCGGTCCTTCTTTCCCTCCAGAGACTCACGAAACATTATGTAAAGTGTGGACATGGGGGCATAATTTAATTATTCTACGACTAGTTTTCTTGGATTTCCCCAGCTTTGAATTTGGAAAAGTCCATTACAAGCTAATGTGCTTGTTTTTATTTCAACAATAATAATGTAATACTTATATCAAGCCAACCTGAATAACTCAATTGGTTAGAGCTCGAGACTTGTAATCTTGACATTGTGGGTTTGATACCCTAGCTGGCCAACTAAAATTACTAATCAGTCTTTCGAAATAAGATTTTTAAATCAGGTCCCATGTATGAGTGCTTAATCACTTGGCGTATAAAAGAAGCAGGAGAAGCTTCTGGAATTGGGGCATCTAATTCTGTATCTTTGTGATATCCTCCAAAATATAAAATGACTAATACTCTTCTGGAGGAGTTGCCTATATGGACAACCAGTGGCAAGTATAAATAAACTCACACATGCACCTCACACATACATTTAATTATTATCTATTTCTAACAAAACAAAACAGCTGGATATAAATAGTGGTCCTTGTTTGTTTGTTTGATTGGGTTTAACGTCACATTGACACAGTATAGGTCATATGGCGACATTTCAGCTTTACTGGTGGAGGAAGACCTCAGATGCCCTTCCGTGCATTATTTCAGGCATTAACGGACACCTGAGTAGAGCCACCGGCGTTCTGTAAGCTAGTTGGATAGCTTCCTCGCAGGAAAGAATCCAAAGTCCCTGTCAGGATTCGAACCCACAGCAGTGAGGGGCAAGTGGTTTGAAGTCAACGACCTTAACCACTTGGCCACGGAAGCCCCCAGTGGTCCTTGTCAAATTTAATGGCTATGATATAACTTTATTTTATCTATTCTAATATAGATACAAAACTTACCACAGTATGTATAAATGATGTTTCTTTCTTCAAATCTCACTTTCAGGTTATATAATACTGAAAATAGACAAAGAAAAACAAATTTTTTTGAGAGTTTTCATAATTATAGACATACATTTATAGGCAAAATTAAAACTGTTCAAATAGAATTTTTTTAAACTTGGCATGTTGTTAGAATATGAAAACAGAAACATTTTAAGTGAAAAAAAAAACGGGATCACCATTCTCATTTTTGAGTTATCTGCTCCAGAATCAGAAATTTCTACTTATTTGAGGTCATTTCAAGGGCAGATAACTTATAATTATTTAAGATACACTGGCATGGATCTTTATATTACATGGAGAGGAAGCTATGACATCATGCAGTGGTAGCAAAACCGCGCAAGTTCACATTCTGCATGAGATTTTCCGAGACCGTGTTCTGCCATCTTGAATTTGCAAAGAAAGCTTTAAAAAATATGAGTTTAATTATTATATTATTTGCAAATATGCTAAAATTGGATGAAATAACAGTTATAATAAAATGGCAACTGAGACCAATAAACGAAATTTCTATGTCACATGATTGTCTATCACAAACCTTCATACACAAAGGGCCAATAAATCTTGCACAAGGAATTGTGGGTCTGGATGGGAATAAAAATTCTATTTTTAGAGCAGCCCATCCCCCTGTAATAAAATCACAGACTGCAAATTTCAACATAATATCATGAAGTTCAAAGATTTTATCCAAACTGTCTTCACTTAATGGTGTTCATTGCATTATATTGGAATCAATGGGATAGGAATTATAGACTGTCTGATATATAAACCAGTCTATCACTATATAAAGAAAATAGAAAATATTGACTGGTGAACAAAATTCACTTACAAGTACGTAAGTAAGCAAGTGTTCTTAAAGTCACATTAAGCCCATCCTAGCATAATGTTCAGGGTACAGATAAGAATAAAAAATAACTTTCTTGCCATTATTTTTTATATTTAACTATGAAAAATTAATCAATAATCCAGTCACAACCGGTATTTTCTATAAATATTGTTCAGAATGAATCGATAATGCTCAATTCTTAAAAAGACTGGAGAAGTTGTTATTAAATTGTTTTACCCACATTTTGCATTATCAATTATTGGTCTGCTGAGTCAACATTATAAAAAGCCATAACCTCAAGAAATATATTTTGCTAATTAATCTCAACTGGACATAAAAAAATGAGCACAGTTCTATTTCTATTTACAAGTATCTTGACTGGTTTACACAATTCACCCACAAGTTCTCTGTTCTTAAATTAAATTTTTGGAGAGCAGTCTACAATTCTGTAATGTCATATATAATGACAGCAGAAGTTGATTTGTTGAAAAGAGTTTTCCAGTAATTAACCAGACAAGCAATTATAACAAGGTCCCTTGATAATTTAAGATTAATTGAGGAAACACAGTTGAGACCCAGAAAAATTCTGCACTGAACAAAATTCATATTATATCAATACTGATGCTATCTTAAACAGAAGTTTTCTTTATTTGAAAATTTTAGTAGGCAAAGAAGGAAAATATAAACTAGCACAGAGAATTTTCATAAACATTACATTAAAGAGAATCATGATCAAAACAAATTGATGAAAACAATTTTGGGGTTATCCAATCAAAATCCTTACCGTGGGCTCATTTAAATTACTGAGTGATGTCAGATCATTTTCAGCCAATCTGCAGACAGCTATAAATAAATTATCAATGTCATTTTACTGTTATCCAATGAAAATGCTTACCTTCAGGCTCATTTAAATAACTGAGTGATGTCAGATCATTTTCAGCCAATCAGCAGACTGCTATAAATAACTTAATGATGTCATTTTACTGTTATCCAATCAAAATGCTTACCTTCAGGCTCATTTAAATAACTGAGTGATGTCAGATCATTTTCTCCAATGAGAATGTCTGGATTTCTCAAGTGCGGGAGTTTGGTTTTGTCTTTGATATCTATCACAGATTCCTGTAAGAACATAAAATATCATATTCAAACATAATGACATTTCTATAATAGATACTTAAAATTTAAATACTGAACTTGTGTGATTTTGAAGTTGAAGTTGTCAAAAGTAAAAACATGGAATTTTTTATGGAAAAAAAAATGACATTTCTATAAAAGATACTTATATAAGCTTGAAATATGTTTATCAGATTTCTGCTTGAGGAACATTCAGTTCTTTAAACATATCAAATTAAGCACTGCTGAATTTGTGTATAAAGGACTTATCCAGTTCTGAATTCAGGGTTGTCCACAGCTAATCAGAAGGGATTTTAACCAATATGCTGAGAATTAATTAATCCACAAACATTCTATATATAACTCCACCATGACAAAACCAACATAATGCGTTTGCGACCAGCATGGATATAGACCAGCTTATGCATCCGCGCAGTCTGATCAGGATCCATGCTGTTTGCTATCAGTTTCTCTACTTGTTACAGGGTTTGTAAGTGAACAGCATGGATCCTGATCAGACTGTTTGGATGCGAAGGCTGGTCTGAATCCGTGCTGGTCACAAACGCATTACCTTGGTTTTGTCATGGCGCAGCTCATATTTGTATAGAGAAGCAATCTTGCCGTGATAATGTCATGTCATTTTCCTCGCTTAAACATTATTAACCATACAGCCATTAAAATTGTTTCATCAAAACCATAGAAAACTTACTCCATTTACAATGTCTATGTCAATGTAAAACAAACAAGATTACACCAAATTTCAGAAATTGAACAAAGGATTATCATAAATAATAATAACATAAATATTTCTTTTTTATCAACTCCTAAACTGTTTTATTAAGGCATTCACTTTATAACTTGGGGAGTTATAAATTTTATGACCAAATACTTTAAGTACTTCATAAATGAATAAATAATGCTCAATTGACAACTAACTAATTGAAAAGATTAAATTTTCATAGTATTATATTTACACGACAAATTATGAAAATGATAAAAAGTTATATTAGCACTATGTATATATCTTTTAATAAATTAGACTAAATAGTTATAATATAAAACTACAATGACAATTAATCAATTAAGTGATTAATTGCAGATTAATAAATAATTGAATTATGATTAATTGATCAATCTATCTATTAAAAGTCTAGCAAATACAGATGATGTAACAACAAAAATCTCGTCATGTTTAGTTGACCATGACAAAATTTGCTTGTCTGATGCTGTCTATGTGCTAGTATGTTATCAATTCACGTTATGTTTTGAAAATAAAACAACCAGGGCCTTCACTGCATAAAGCTGATTTTACATAGGGCCCTGAGTCATGCATATCAAAAACATGCAACATCAGTGCATGGTCAGTGTGTTAATCTATCTGTAAATATGTTTTCTAATATTTTAATGCCTACATTCATTGGAATGCATAAAAACGCTGGTGTTCTAAAAAGAAAACTTGTTGATATATTTCCTTTAGAAAAACTAGTAGGAAAGACATGTGATTAATTACATATATATGGTATTTTCAATAGCCAATAGTAATTAAGCAGCCTCCTTCTAGATAAATGCCATTTATAATTCTAATAATGGGTATACGATAACCTAAAACTGGCAATTAAATACTGAAATGGAGGAAATATCTCAGGACCATATTAAAATATAGGCCAATTAACAAATTTTTATATATTCTATGAGCATAATAAACGGTATGATTAACCCATTCCATTATGTGTATGTTTCCTGCTTTGAACTTAGTTACACTCGTTCATTGATATTTTTATTCATATTCTCAAGGGACTTTACTTTACTAGGATAAAAATTCATCAAATAAAATGAGGTCCTATATTATAACTGCCATTGAATTGTTAAAAAAAGGCACCCTGAAAAGTGTTTATGACTATGTTGTTTCAGTTAGTACGCTAGAAATTCTAAATATAAAACAAGAGCTGTCAGTTACTAAGGACTGTGCATGCTTGACTATTCTCAGTGCATGATAGTAAAAATATATGCCTAAGGTATTATGTAAAAATTTTAAGTAAAAGAAGGGCCATAATTATGTAGAAAAGTTGTGGTCTTTGGTAAGTGATCTACCATGCTGTCAAATAAGTGTGTGAAGTTTTAACCCATTCTATTCTGTAATTTTGGAGATACCAAATAAAGCATCAAGCTACAAAACTGAACCAAAGTGTGACAGCTAATGCTATAAATGAGCCGCGTCATGACAAGACCAACATACTGTGCTTTTTGCGACCAGCATGGATCCAGACCAGCCTGCGTATCTGCGCAGTCTGATCAGGATCCATGCTGTTCCCTATCAGTTTCTCTACTTGTAATAGGGTTGGTATTGAGCGAACAGCATGGATCCTGATCAAATTGCGCTGGTGCAGCTGGTGCGCATTCCATACTGGTCGCAAACGCACTTTGTTGGTTTTGTCGTGACGCGGCTCAAATATAGTCAATAGCTAATAATGTCTAAATTAATGCAAAACTAAGTATTTTGCTGACACATCTTACAGATTATTAGTAACGCTTTAATAAATAAATAAATAAAAAAAATAATAAGAATATAGCAATTTATCAGAAACTAAGCCAGCTAGACATATCAGACCATAATTATTTAAATGTTTTGGAACTCTTTTTAACAGTTTCTTATTCGTAAGCTCTACCAACAGAAAAATCAAATTTTATTCGAAAAACCCTATTTTGCACTAAAGCTAGCAGAATTAGTTTTCTAAAAAGAAGGTACAAAAAATCAATTAAGTTTTATCAAGAAATAATATCCAATTTACAATCTAACACTATTTGTTTATAATCAATTCTATGTGTTTTTCATTTCCAACCTTGATTAATATTCATTAAATGGACAGAAAATTCATACAATTGTAATCATTCAAACAAGACTAAATTCAAATTTTTAAGTTTTTTCCTTTCTATACATGAATGAAGAATCAGAAGCATAGAAAAGTGTTAAGTAAAGATGATGAAAACTACTAAAGATATAAGATATAAAAGATTATTATACATGTAATATCATAATTAATTCACATGTTAGCAAAAAAGCAAAGTGACGACCATAAACCACACAAGGGTCATAGAATAAAAAACATTTAGTTTTGGCCAACACATTTTCTCTACATGACTTTTTAGTATTCTACAGTTTTTGTTTCAGAGTCATCTCCCTTAGTATATAGAGAATTACCTCCCTTTATCATTTGGCATTCTCATTCATAGAGTCACTTCCCTGGACTTCAAGCTTTCACTGTAACTATCTTAGTATTCCATCAATGGGTTACCTCCCCTACACATTTAGAAAGTTACCTCCCCTTAAATTCAGAAAATCCTCCCTAGCATTCCTTGATTTAACTTCCCTTGTATTCATAAACTAAGTTATGTTCCCCTTGCAATAAGAAAAATCTTCCCTATAGCATTATACAGAATTATCACCCCTGGCATTAACAGAACTTAAGCTGATTTTCTAAAGTCCTAGCATTTAAAAGTTATTTCCCATTCCCAAAAAATTCAAGGAGTTATCTCCCCTTGTAGACAGAGATTAATCCCCATAGCAGTCAGTGAATTTTCTCCCCCCTCCCAGCAGACAGAGAGTAATCCCCATAGCAGTCCGGGAGTTATCTCCCCCTAGCAGTCAGAGAATTATCCCATAGCTCTGTGAGAGTTACCTCCTCCTAGTTCTCATACAATAATATCCCCAGCATTCAGAGAGTTACCTTCCCAAGGAATAAGACTCCATAGTTGTATAAAAGGTTAAGGTCTTTAAAGGCTTGTTTAACCTACTAAAAGACATTTACTGGTTACACAGAAGAAGTAGACAAAGATGACTATCATATATAAACAGCTATAGACAAACATGCCATATATGCGACAAAACCACACCCACACAGTGGTAAATATGCATACATTTGCATAAATTAAGCTAATTAGCATAGATTTGCATAAATTACACTAATTAACATAAATTAGCATAAAATATGCTAATTAGCATAAGAATTTGCATAAATTATGCAAATTTGAAAAAAGACAGAACATATAAATAGAACACTACAGCGTGCTTTATTTTAGTTACCGTTTCCTTCGCAAGTTTTTGGTGGAGATGTAAATCTTGTAGAGAAATCTTAAAACCATCAGCAAAGAAAAAAAACATCAGCAAAACGGCAAATAATCAATACACTATAAACAATAACTTATCAAAATAAACAGTACAAACTAGAAAAATAATCAAAAGAAATAATGTAATGTTTTATTATATACCTGTAAATATTCTATAACACTGCTCATTTGTAATGTCAGTTTTATCTTTACAGCAGCACGCCTCCAGATTTATGCTAATTTTCATGAAAATTTGAAAATATTTTAAACAGTTCAATATTGTTAAGTAACCAAAAGAATGCAATTTACATATTATCAATGAAACTTCAAACCCATGTTTATTAGATTAAAGAGGTCAAAATATGCAAAAAAAGCCCTTGCTGCATTAGTAACGCAGTAGAAATATATTTATAAATACTGACGCCTCTTACGGTCATAAATCACACAGAACATGCAAATTATTACTAGAATTTTGAATATTTATACTTTTCCTAAAATCTTGGTACTTTTTTCTCAGGTTTGATTTTATCGAAATATTTTTGCTCATCTGGAGGCGTGCAGCTTTAATCATTGTGATGTTTACATCATTAGCACATGTACAGCTGCTATAATTTCTTTTAATTTTCCTCAAATAATTTGTGCAGAATTATGTATTCGGATTCTATTCCGATATATGTTCAATACTTTTGTTTGTTTGAGTCGAAGATGTGCATTATCAAACTGTATGGTTATTCTATCCTAAAGAAACAGTTAAATTATATAAAAAGGCTCAAACCTCTCTCAAATTTAACCAGAGTTTTGAATCATAAGCAATTACACTTAATATGATCCAATATTGTAGTATCAGAATTGATTTCATTATGTAATTATTGACATTATTTTTTGTTGTTTCGTTTTATGGCCCACCAACACATTATAGGTCATACAGCACAGAAACAGGAAAGATGATTTTGGTTTACCCCTGGTTTACTTTTAGTTTGTAACACCCGATGGTAAGCCAAAATCACCTTTCCTCTGGTGTTACAAAACTCAAAGCAACACCAGGGGTTAAAAGTTAAAACCACCTTACCTACTGGAGCTAAGAGATGCTTAGAATCCAGTAATTCAAACCCATTTAGTCGCCTCTTACGATCACGCACGGAAAAACGGCTACTATTTTGATGCCTCAACCGTTAAATGCAACCCCTCAGCCACAATGTGGACAATTGAATTTATAATGAACATATATTATACAGGTATATAATAAAAGGTACATTGAAAGAATAGGCCTTGACCTGGAGCTAGAACCATGCTCTTGTTGATTTTTGCCAGGGCAGATCAAACCTGTCACACAAGCATCTCCTTCTATCCGAGGTCAGACAACACCAGATGCTCGAGAAAACCTGCTTTGAGCAAAATCCACTCAAGCAGAAACATGGCCAGATCAAGATATTTTTATGCTGTCATATAAGCCGCACCATGACTAAACCAACATAGCGCGTTTTCAACCAGCATGGATCCGCGCAATCTGATCAGGATCCATGCTGTTCACTTACAAACCCTATAACAAGTAGAGAAACTGATAGCGAACAGCATAGATCCTGATCAGACTGCGCTGGTTGCAAACCCATTATGTTGGTTTTGTCATGGCGCGGCTCATATATATATATATATATATATATATATATATATATGAAAGAAAGAAGTCATGAGCGTGATTTTTCGTGCGATTTTTCTATATATATATATATATATATATATATATATATATACAAAACTAAAGGGACTCCACTGAAGTTTTTGTTTGTTTGTTTCATTTTATGCCTTTTTCCAACAGTATTTCAGTCATATAGGCGGGTAGTTTCCTAACCATCGTTCCTGGAGAGTTACACCAGTACTAGACTACCTTCCTCCGCGATCCAACCAACGCCAGAGAGGTAACTGGATCAGAAGTTATCAACTCTAACCCCTCGACCACGGAGGCGGTCACACTGAAGTTTTTGCCACTGAAGTTTTTGACATAACAAAACAGGAAATATCTTTCGAGACTTCTTTCGATTTGATATACATTCATGTACATGTGTAATTCTGGATCAATAACTTGTGCATTTAATTTCAGAACATTCACAAACTCTGTTATTCCAGAATAAATCATCTTTATTTGTGCAAAATGACCCCAAAAATGAAGTGTTCAAACACTTTTAACTTGAGTAAGGCATAAATATTGCTTTTAGATCTAATTCTAAGGCTAGTGTATACAATATTGTCTTTTGCTTTAATGTTTCTGTTTTGACGGCTCCAATTGATCTATGTAAGAATGTCAAATTTTGTTTTTAGTCTTTAAATTTGAATCTCAGTGGAGACCCTTTAACAAGTCAACAATAAGGTCACAACATTGTGTAAAATAATATCAACAACATGTCATTAAATACTGTATAATTATATACCACAAATTTTTTCTTGTTTTAACTACACAACAATTTTTGATAACTCAATATATGAATCTAAAGCTAAGCAAAATTTGTTTCAAATCCCTGTATAAAAGCAACCAAATATTTCTTCAAGTCTATTACTCTTACACAATTTGGAGGGAAAAAAACCTTTGACAACATAAAAGACAACAATATAATTTCTTTGGTTTCCTGCAAACCTTAATAAATAAAAAGCATTTTTTTCCCCAATACTTTATCAATTCTATATTGTTTAAAAAAAAAATGTCACTCACTTCTCCTTCTTCATAATGGACTTTTAATTTACAAGGAGCCTCTTTGTAGTCTTCTAATAGCTCCGCCCCTCTCCACACCACATCTGGGTCAGGCAGCCATACACGTGCTCCCTGAAAATAATGACAAATCAATGAATGGTGTAAACATAATTTACATAAACTATATCACATAGCTCCGCCCATTTTTATGCTAAATATATGTCAGGCGGACATAACATTTAATTATTTCCTGAAAATAATTTGGAAAAAATTTCTACTAATGTTAATGTACCATCTCACTTCCTTTATAGAATTTTAATAACATGTGCATTATAAAAGGGGAGGTGGTTTAAACCTTTAATGATAATTTTTATTGGCCAATAGTATTTATGGGATGGAGCTTAAATATTTTTTGACATAGCTGGGTGGAGTTGTCAGTTGCTACACAAACATTTACATCTAAAAGAATAAAATACAATTTTGAATAAGATTTATGGCCCAGTATTTAATAATATATGAGATTAGAATATAAATGCATCAATTTTGTATTTTTTTTTTAACAGAAGTGCTGCCTGATTATTGTGTCATCTTGATTTTAGTGTTGTCATACCTTACAGAAGCAAATCCTAGTTTCTTCCTCATTAAAACCAGTCTGTATATAAAATCTCTTATAAATAATCTCCTTAATAATGTTCATGTTGCTTTTTTTTTCTAACATAAAGGTTCAACTTTCTTTCAAGCCTTGATTTTCTTCATAGCAAACTCTTTTATTTAAATATCCAAATTTTTAAAGCTGGTATCATCACATGACTGTTTTGTTTGTCAAATATATTCCATGTTTTCACCTTTTAAAAATTAATTTCATTTCCTGACCATTCCATATAATCCACATGAAAGTCATATAAATATTATGTACAAAAATGTTCCAACTTCCACAGTATCCAAAGGCCTAATGTGAACAAAATTATGAATAATTACACTTAATGCGGTCTCTCTCTCTCAATTCTCGTCATAACACGAGACAAATTATCTATAATGTTACTAGAATACAAATTGTGAGTTGACCGCAAAACTGCAGTAACTTGTATCAAATAAAGCAGGACATACAACAGTTTTGCAATCAACCTTCAAAATATCATAATTTATTAATTTTTTTCCCAATTTATGCACTTTTGGCAGATGGCACTATCAATATAATACAGTCTTGATAATCCTTATCTAATATTTGATTATAAAATTCCTTTAAAGGGACTTCACTGAGGTCTTTTGACACAACGTAGGACAGATAATTATTTTTGGATATTCATATAAAATTTGATGTACATGTAAGTCTAGACCAATAGCTTATGTGCATAATAACACTCTGTTTTTTTTTCTTGTTTTTCTTTCGGAATAAGTTTTCTAACTGCGAAAAATGACCAAAAATTTAAAAGCGAAAAAAGGGCTTATAATAGCTCAAATACAATTTCTAATTTATTTTTTGGTTTAAAAATAGTTTATTTTTTCAAACAAGTATACACATTTACACTTTACAAATAGAACATAAGAACACATGAAATGAATGAAAAAGGATTTATTTCTGTGTATATTTCTTAATTATCAATGTATCTTGTGCATATCTTTTCTTTTTTTAGTGTCACAGTTGAACATCAAAAGAAATTCAATTTTTTATGCTTTTAAATTTTTGGACCTCAGTGGAGTTCCTTTAATCTAATATTTCTGCGAAGTTTTATCTCAAAATTTCAGGTATATCAATATCCCCTTCTTATCATAGTATTTTTATCTGTAATTTCCCCTGAATTTCAGTAATAGACTCTCCTCTCCCTGTTTTGAATAAGGAACAAACCAATAGTACTTTAAAGGTTTTTTTTTCAGTATTGATATTATTGACAAAAAAAAATATGTAAGATTGGAGGTGTAGGACAAAGAAGAAACTTATGGTATGTGCTTGTGCCAGCAAATATAATAAAATATAGTTATCATACTTTTTAAAAATTTTAACATTGTCAGCAATCTTTATTTCTTTTAAATTTAAAACAATGTCAACTTCCCATAATCAACTCGAAAATCATAAACATTTTCCATATATACATATCATTCAGCATAAAGCCTGACTTTTATCAGAACCATAATATTCACATTCCACCATTTTTCCTTCAAATAGTTAAAGTATTTCAAAATTATAGTTAACAATTACAATGCACTATTTAATACCCAGTTTTTCACACATGATCATTATACCACATAAATACATACAAAATGCAAAAAGTTCAAATTCTTGCATAAAGCATCAACAATGTCAATTTTTATTTTATTTTTTAATATTTTTTTTCACTTTACTTAATTTCAACCAATTAAACTAACAGTTATCCAAATTTTCAGTCTAAAATCTACACTATATGTATTCACAATGTTCACAAAAATTTTATAATTCTTATCATAAATAATTTTATATTCTTTCACTATTCATGTTAATAGTAAATACATAAGTTAACTGAATTATCCAACTTTTCAGTAGACTACATTTAATCCTTTAACTAAGCTTTTTGTAACAATTACATGTATTATATATCCGAAGTTCCTGAAAAATGATATGATTTGTTCATTTAATATTGGAAACATATGTGGTCAAAAAAATTATTCTGTAACATAATCATGTTAAAATGATTGTGAAAACAAGGCCAAGCCTAGTCTGCTTAGTTACATATTTGTTTCTGGGCCTGTTTTTTTTTCCAACTCATACAATAACAATAATAATAATAAATGATAGCCTGAGTCTTCCCTATGAGCCTCTATCATAATATACATATAATACATACAAAGTCCTTTAAAAGACTTCTTCCCAATCAAAGTTTTCGTAACAATCATGAAGTTTTATAAAAAATCTGAACTTATACACCAGCCTTTTAGCTTCCCAAATTAGCAATTTTAGCAATAATTTTTCCCAAAATTAACAGGCCAAAGCCTCTTCCCAATTACATGTATCATGTGAGAAAAACCTGTCTGGAAAATATAACAAGAGGGCCATGATGGCCCTGAGGTCACTCACCTGTATATAGCCCCAAGGGCTTTTATTTGAACAAACTTGGTAGACACCCATAAGAAGATGTTTCATGCTAACCATCTAAGCTCTAACTCATTGAGTTTTTTAAAAGAAGATTTTTAAGTTTTTGCTATACACATATACAGAAAACCATGACCCCCGGGGCGGGGCCAATTTTGACCCCAGGGCTTTTATTTGAACAAACTTAGTGGACACTCATTACAACATGTTTCATGCTAAATATCCAAGCTCTAGCTCTTTGAGTTCTTTAAAAGAAGATTTTTAAGTTTTTACTATATGCATATAGAGAAAATCAATGACCCCCTGGGACGGGGCCAAATTTGACCCCAGGGCTTTTATTTGAACAAACTTGGTAGACACTCATTAGAAGATGTTTCATGCTAAATATCTTAGCTCTAACTCTTTGGGTTCTTTAAAAGAAGATTTTTAAGTTTTTACTATATGCATATAGGGAAAATCAATGACCCCCTGGGGCGGGGCCAATTTTGACCCCAGGGCTTTTATTTGAACAAACTTGGTAGACACTTACTAGAAGATGTTTCATGCCAAATATCTAAGCTCTAGCTCTTGGTTTTTTAAAAGAAGATATTTAAAAAAATTTCTTTTGGTTGCCATGGCAACCAGAGTTCTGCATGGAATTAAATTCTTTGAACAAATTTTAAAGGTGACCACCAAAGGAACATTCTTGTGAAGTTTGGATGAAATTGGCTTAAGCTACAGTCTCACTTACATCCCGGCAGAGCCCCGGTAGATGTCCGGGGTGATCCGGGAACGATCGGGGTACGACCGGGAACAACCAGGGTACATCCGTAACTCTGCCGGCAACGTCCTGGATGATCCGGGAACATCCGGCATTCGACCCCGGATGGAATAAAATATTTAATATCACCGGGGTGGTCCGGAATGATCCGGGAAGGTATAGCTTTGCCGGCTTCATCCTTAGCTCTGCCAGGAACGACCGGGGTTATACCAGGAAAGCACCGTAGCTCTGCCGGCACAAACCGAGGATGATCCGGGGTATGATATAGCCGGTAGAGCTACGGTAGAGCTACGGAAGAGCCCCGGTAACTACAGGCAGAGCCCCGGAGGATAAAGGTAGAGCTACGGTTGATCCCGGTAGAGCCTCGGCAAAGCCCCGGTTCGTTTCAAAAGAATAACGACAATTTGCGATGATTGCACTTGTTTGTATTAAAAGCCTTCCCCTTTCCCTTCTATCCAGTATGGCATAAGGATTTTTCAGAAAATCATCATGAATTACTATTCTGGAACAATAGATATTATATTAAATAAAAATTATGTATCAATGTTATCATTTTCGGGCGTTTTCAATCCACCGCGGTTCTACTGGGGCTCTGCCTGGATCGTCCTGGGCTCTGCCGGGGCTCTGCCTGGATCGACCGGGGCTCTGCCTGGGTCAACCGGGGCTCTTCCGGCGTCATCCGGGAACGACCGGGGAAGCACCGGCATGATCCGTAGCTTCACCTGGGCTCTGCCTGGATGATCCGGAGCGCATCCTGGGTGGTTAGTAGGGAACTACCGTAGTGCTGCCGGGGTAAGTGTGACCGCAACAATAATTTCATCCAAGATCGTCCCGGATCATCCCGGTAACTTACCGGGATGGTCCTGGGCTCTGCCGGGAGTAAGTGAGACCGAGGCTTTAGTGGTTTATGAGGAGATGTCATTTAAAGTAAAAGTTTACTTTGTGACAGGTGAGCTAAAAATATTACAATAATAATCTGAAATAAGTTTATAAGTACAAATCATCAGAGGACAGCTCCATTTTTTTTTTTTTTTTTCAAAATGACCAGCAGCTTAAAACTTCAGTTGACAAAGGCTTTTATCCATAATAAAGGACAAGAAAGTAACATATATTTTAATTTAGATACAGCCTTTTTCTTATCCATTGTTTTAATCTTGAGTGCTTTTACACATTATAAAATTTGTGATGGTTAGAGAAGTATGAGCCTATAAAAATACGAGCCCAAAATCTGACATGACATAAATTTAATATTCACGATCAAATCATTATAATATTATATTTGTCAAGCAATAAAAATCATCCCATTTA